GATTCACGTGACTTTTCCGTTATTGTTAAGTGTTCGAAGATGTCGTGGGACAGTTAAAGACCTGAATCTCATTCCAGATGACAGCGACGAAATCAGTTTCTAGATTTACCGTCTCGTTGTAAAATTAACAATTTTCAAACTTTATTTGTTTAACTGTGAACGGCTTAAAATTTTGCCCAAAACTGTCAGTACAATGCATTGAGACGGCTAAGGGAGAGCTTCACATTTCCTGCCTGAACATTGTTTCAAATGCAATATGTCATCCACTCCCGTTGCCAGTGTATCACATCCCAGCGGTGAGATCACTGATTTGGTGATCTTATATGTAACTCTTGCTGTTTAATGCTGCTGTTACCTTTTAATGGCATAAAATTTGGATATTTCATCGATATAACCTCTTCGTCTGTAAGCCGGTCAAAACCCATTAGTCGTTGTAAGGCAAAATTGCATATCATTTTGATCGAACAATTAAAATATATTGAAAACCGGAATCTTTGTCATGGCTCGTAATCTTAAAAGTGGGGTTACTTTACCTTATTTGCATTGACAAAGCCCCCAGGACTCTACATTCCCCCGAGATGTACTATATCTTTGTGGCAAGAGCCCCCTAAATAGCTCCTCTCATGGGGTACCATGCGGTTGTTAATTCGTATCATTTGTAGATGTATTTTGTAGGTTGCGGTTGTTAACGTATCCTGTAACGGTTGGCCGGGTGTGGTTTAAACTCGATGTTTTGTGTATTTACTGTCTGTCAGCTGCTAGAATCTATACATATTTCTCTGGACAAATTGAGGATTGTAATAGGATTCTTTGACGTAGGTTACTACTTGATTTCTTGTCCTCAAAGAGGAATTTTGTGGAGTATTGCCCTAGGACTTCCTTGCCAAATGTAACGCTTTGCTGATCATATTTGTAATAAATGTTTGCTTGACTCAGATTAAAAATCTCTCACGAATTTCGCATGAATTCAGTAACGAAAGGTAATAAGTATAAATGGTTGATTGTATGCATGTCACTGGCAAAATAGTTTCGATTACATAGCGATGATATATTCGCACGTCAAAGAGCTGCAGTCGTTCGTTTTATAGCAAATTTCTCTCATATTTCGCTGTTGAATTGATGCCGAATGAACAGCCTGAAATGTACCTTAACCACACCATAATATGGAGTTTTTACCACACTTCCAATTGGTTCTGGCAATGATCTTAATGCTTGCAACAGTTGAACATAACGTCTCCCTCATGGCGAATAAAACTCATAATTATTCAAATAATTAGTAATTACCCGACTAATCCATCTTACCTTGCTGAACTGATTCATGGATATAAAGGCTCTCTTAGGTCCAAAATTAAGGGGAGGACAGATGCGACAAAAGACCCTTCTACCAATTATCATCAAATCGATTATACGCTCTACACACACTAGTGTTAGACACACTGTTAGTGTTGTACGTTGAGAGCGCGAATGTTGAACCTTGAGTGTGAGCCAACACACACACACACACACTAGATGTGAGAATAGTACCCTCATTGAGTTTAATATAATAAAGCTCCCAAACAATGGTTTGCTCCTGTACTGTACACGACCAATGACATAGCTCTCCTGTATTGAGACCTCCGCTAGTTTATCTAGTTGTTGTCTTGACTCTTGTAGATCTATAGCTGCTGCCTCACTTTTGTTACATTCGCTCAGTTTCATAGGTGCCTACCAGTGTGATAGTTTCCAGTTTGATACAGTAAAACCCCGATTTCCTAATTTTGTAGTTGCCAATTTGATAGTTACCAGTTTGGTAGTTACCAGTTTAATAGTTACCAGTTTGGTAGTAACCATGTCTCTGAAGGATTATCTAGTCTGAAAAGTTATTTTTGAAGGCTCGATTCCTTGTTCCTAGTCCAGCAGTAGAAGATCAACCTAAGACATGGATCTTTAAATTTCAATTTATTCCCTGGTACTGAACAAGCACAATACTCAACTACTGAGAGTTGTCAAAATCAGGTTCATTATACTCCTTTAGGTAGCACTACTCTAAATGATTCGGTTCTCGGTAGTCATGATCTCCCTCTCTCCATACACCTCAGCTGTCACTACGAGAACCAGGGAGGGAGAGAGAGCTTCTAAACGGGTGTCTCGTGTTAGCTGATATAAGAGAGCTAACGCTTCCCTCGCTCCCCCGTGTTATATTAACCCTCATGATAGATTACCCATGTTCTCGGAGAGATCGACTCTTTTTTCTTCTTCTTTGCGGGGGTAGTCACATGATTCTAATTCGGGGGGCTATTGTATAATGTGGGTATCAAGAGTGATGATACTATTGTTAGAGGGGTTATACTGGAGGTAATTACCCATCAACCTTTTAGACATGAGCCATTGCAAAGCCATGCATCTTTGACCTTGCTGTTACACCAAGTTAGACCTAAAACCCCAAGGGGGCTTCTAGCCTTGGATCAGTAAAACTTCCGATCGCTGAGAGTCCACAGTGTCCAATTCCCACAGTTACACAGCTCTTTGACTCCGGCTTTATACACTCTATCGGTAGCTCGTTGCGGGGGGCCACGTCTCTCCTAATAGCCCTGTTTAACTAAGCCCGCCACAACGGTACTCAGCAAATATACTGCCGCTTATAATCACTCTTATTCAGTGTGTATAGGCCGTTTGTTTAGCTTGTTTGTTATTTCCTCTATTTACCATCTATCTATTTATTTGCAGTGCACTATCGGCCGTTAGACTCAGTCTTTATACTTGATGTTGGCTTTGAGCTTTTGAGAAAATCGCGGTGTCTTTTCTTTGCTTGTTGAAGTCCTTACCATCTAAGAAAACTAATTAATTCAATAAAAAAGCTCCGAAGAACGTTGAAGGTTGCTGATTATCCAGCTGGGCGCTGGCGTCAACAATATGACTCATCCAAAAGCGTGGTCTGTAACATTGTCCGGTTGTATCTGATGCAATGCTTTTCTTTCATTCTTGTGTCTAATTGGGCCGAGATCCTCCCTCCCTCTACTTGGCAGTATAATAATGTGGCCGCATTGAGATGCAAATTACAGCGCGTAACCTCGCACTTTACAACGTGCCGTGTTCTCATGTCCTGTCACGAAGTTCAGAAGCTGTAGCCTGTAGTTTGATTATGCAGTGTAACTTTTGCATAGTGTACCTTACTTAGTGTTACTCAAGATCATATTTGGAACATATTTGTGGGTCCTGAAGGAAGTTGAAGTAGCGAGTTCTTAGGAATCTATAGAATGCAGGATCAGGGGCGGATTACCAGGCTCTGTGTAGAGGTACCCTGTGAAGGGACCTGTGCTCGTCTAAGCAAATCAAGTCAGCTCAGGGTTCAGGTTCCTGTGCTGGACGATTGCAAGGGTCACTCCCTGAGCACGCCCATTTCTTGTAACGTCATATTTCCCTTCTTGTAACGTCATATTTCCCTTCTTGTAACGTCATATTTCCCTTCTTGTAACGTCATATTTCCCTTCTTGATCGTCTCCCTTCTATAATGCTGACGCGATGTCTCGTATTGTTTACTATCTGCTCTTAATAGTTTCAGTAATTCTGACGGTTGTTTTGAACGACAAAGGCTCATCAAAATTCGCATTAGTGTGTAAAGAGATCTTGTGATCTTTTGTTAAAACTTGTAACACAGAAATGAGCTTTTTCTTGCACTGTACTATTCGCGGTAGGCAAGCCATTAAGCGAGTTGTTACTAAACATCCTAAAATAGTCTAATGGCTTATTGGATTTGCTGGCAGGTCTATAAATGGTACATTGGCTGATCATTTGTTTGTTTATAAGGTGTATTTAGCAAAACTATTCCGGGAATTAATTGTTATGCTTAGTGTTTACTGAACATTGTTTAGTGTTTTCGCACAAACGCCACAATGGCGACTTCGATCAGCTGTACTACTGAAATTCAAGACTACTTGAAGATTGAAATAGCTAGTTGCTTTGCTTAACTCATCACACAGTTCAATATTGGATCTAATCCCCTCTTTTTGGCGTCAAACATCTGGTTCCTTTTGCCTAAACAATAACTTGGAATTGAGTACTTTACTCTTATTGAGTACTTACCTCATTTACTAATAAGGGCCTCTATGTTATATACTATATAGTTTATCTGGTTTATATAGTCAGCACTAAATGTATTATCCCATTTCATGCCAACAGTCTCGCAGTTTGCTTAATTACATAGTCTACAACAATCTCCAAGGTCTACAGTTAGCTGCCTTGAAGGTGCCAGCGACCAGGAGCAGCTCTCAAATTCCGCACAGAAATGCTCGAATTCACTGTTCTAATGGCAATCTTATAGCTTATATATTGTTATAACTAGATCAGCGCTCCCACCACACAGTGCTTTCTGCAGTACTGTGGTGGGTACATGAGATTACTTTTACAGCCTTTCTAGTTGTAACACGTTGATGCGTGCTCGCTGCTCACTACCCCCAACACTTCAAGGAGGTGGAAGTAACAAGGCCGTTTGGTTAACGAGATTGTAGGTTGTTGACTAAATTTAATCCACTGCCCGACATATCGCATTACCAATGAAGTAGCAAGTCCAGGCTGCTGCCTAGGTTTTACCTGAAGTAGCCGATACTGTAATTAGTTAGCAGGGGTTTTAACACGCTGATTTGATAATGTGCCGATGAATGTGTGTCCTACCAGGAGTTACTCTTAAGAATGATATAGTTCATGTGTTCTCAAGTGGTCGGTTATCCTGTTGGCTTGTCCAATTTTCCCGTATTTATATTTCCCGCGCTAATCGGTCTAAAATGTTGTCAACAGCCTTTAAAGTTTATAAGATGCATGCCAGGGAGCTGATCTTTTGGAGTGAACCATCTTTTTTCTTCCTTGCTTTAGCGATTTCTAATATCCAGATTAGAGTTGGACTAAAAATAGAAATTCTCACATCCATTACATGTGTCGCCTAAAATTTATTAGATTAACTCTATACTATGTATATGCCCGAAAATGAAGTTTTTGTTTGATTAACCTCTATCCCACACAGGAAATGAAAGCGTTGGAAGTGATCACAGTTCTCCTAATCTCTGTCCATTACGTCAGTGGCGAGTCCTGTACAGGTGACTTGATATGGCAGGATAAGGCCAGTATCTGCATCGCTACCTGCACGGCTCACTTTTACCCTGACAAGGAACTCTGTCCGACCAGGACCATTGGTCGCTGTGTGTGCCCTGCAGATAAAATCAAACTGGAGGACACCAGCGATGTCTGTGTGGATCCTCTGTCGAAAGAGTGTCGGCAGGCCACAAAAAAGTACATGGATGAGCCCTCCGCCCAGTTCAAGTTCACCAAGGAACCGGAGGATCTGACGGTGATAGCCGGGGACTCAGTAACGATCAGCTGCCTAGTCTCCAACAAGTACACTATCCAGTACATCTGGTACAAGCTGGATGAGCTGCCTCAAGGAGACGGCACGGCCGAGAAGAACCTCTACATGACAGGAACTAGCGAGCTGGTTTTCAAGGAGATCACCCCGGAGGAGGCAGGCTTCTATCAGTGCAAAGCGGTCGCTTCCTCTGACTTTCTTATGATCAGTGGAGTAGGAGAGATCAGAGTGAAACACTTTACAACTAAGGATACCATCGTTACTGATGATAGAGTTACACTAAGTAACCCCTTATTTGAGATTAAATGTGCGGAGATCTACGCTGATCCAACTCCGGAGATAAAGTGGTACTTTGGAGACAAAGTGGTTGAATTCGAGAACGCCGACTATTTCATGAACAGGAACGAGAAATCTCCAGACTTCGGTTCTCTGTACATCCAGAACGTCCAGGCTGATCACGCTGGCAAGTACACCTGTAAGGGAGCCTCCTCAGAACTTGACAAAACAGTGACCCTGGCGGAGAGGACTGTCATCATCACGGGATCACAAAACACCGTCAGCGGAGCTCCTAAAGTCAAAGAAACTGCCAACTTCGGTGAAAAGAAAAAGAAGGGAGAAGAGGGAGTGATGTACTGTGCAGGGTACGGGTTCCCTGCTCCTGACATTAAGTGGTACAAAGTGGCAGCCATAGGGGAGGAGCAGCCTGAGATATCAGGGTGTACCGAGTCAAAGTGTGTCGACCAAGGAGGCAGAAGGTTGAGGATATACAACCTGCAGGACAGTGACTTTGGGGACTACCAATGTGTCGCTACCAACTCCTTCGACCACGTCACCAAGATAATAGCCATGTCAAAAGAGCCCAGCTCCTACGCAGTTAACTTTGAGAGTATCTCAGACCCCGTGAAAGTGTTACCCAACCGCTACACCAGCTTTACCCTGACATGCGAAGTGAACACATCCCAGAACCCAGAGACCTACATGGGCTGGTACCAGAACACACAAGGTATCGCAGACAAGGGAGAAAGGATCAGGATATTCAGCTCCTCGGAGAACGGAATCAGCGTCCAGAAGCTGGTGTTTGATTTCCCTACTAACGATGACCATGGTGTGTACCAGTGTCTGGCTTATAATTCCAGAACTTTCAAACAAGCCACTACGGATGTGTTTGTGTACACCAGTCAAGGGGTAGAGGACGAAGGTTACGATAACGACAGTGCATTTGCGACAGATTCCTACGATCCGAACACAGTGAAGGATTACCAGTACTTTAGCGATGCTAAGAACGCCGCTGAGGCGGACAGAACGTGTCAGGAGTGGCGAACTGACGCCCATCTTGCCACCATTCTGAACTACAAGGAGAATGATCTTGTGTTTGACATTTTGATGGCAAACAAGGACACAACGAACGAGACTAGAGCCTGGATAGGCCTGACGGACGAGACAACAGAGGGAGTTTGGAGGTGGCTGTCTGGCGAGGTGTCTGACAAGTTCAGTTTTTGGTGGAAAAACGAGCCAGATAACTCGGAGGCTGAACGAGATTACGCCTTCATGGACGCCGCCAAATCAGGACACTGGATTGGTGGGGATTTTAACCTGCAGCTACCATTTGTGTGCAAGCATTACAACGCTTCGTGCGTAGACTTGGAGACCCAACAAGAACTGGAGATCAAATTTGATAAGTACACCAAGCGTAGGCTGACCAGTAAGATCTCAGTGTACGATACTGCAAGTGTGAAGTGTGGAAGTGAGTATATTACATTGGAGTGTGCCCCCAGTGGAAAGTGGGTCCTCGCCGAGGGCAGCACATGTCCTGAGATAAACGCTGTTAAAGACAAACAAGGCGAGGCTACCACCGGCGGTGGAGTTAGGTTAACGTATCAAACTCTTACACTATTTCTTATCTTATCTTATCTATTGACGTGAAGTATATCTGTGCTGTGAATATACTGCGCGCGCGTGCTGTTTTTAATATTGGTTTTTTATCTTGATTAAATTTTGTAATTGCACGAGGATACTTAACTTGGACACCAAGCACTTGGGGACTCAGATAAAAATGTTCCGACTGAATCAGATATATCATTCAAGTTTTAAGTTTCTTATTTTATGTCAGATTCTTCAAGTTAAAAATAATTATCATTACAAAACTACTTATTTTATCTCAAGATAAACAAGCCATGGAGATTATTGTTAACTAGGAAGATTTTGTTCACCACATATGTTGTCATTGTTGGTGGTGTTTAGTTATTTGAAATAATAATACTGTTTTCGGGTAATTGCTGTAAAATTGACTGCTCAAAAATCATACTCCAATTTACTGCTCATACCAACTACATGAAAAGTTTACAGCAATAACCTTGTTAGATGTCCGACGGAAGGTGAACTCAGTTCAAACCAGAGGCCATATTTATTTTTTGTATTGAATTTGTATATAATTTACCAATATATTTGATCATTGCGAATTTTCAATTTCTTAACCAAGTTGAAAAGAGTCCCTTATTCGTTTCAAAGTGATTTGCAATCCCAAACTATACAGCACCTTGTAAATTCCCAGATAAAAATGAAAATAACCATTCTACTGTAAACGTATAAAATAAATTGCCTATAAACTACCTACCGAGTACATACCAATGTATGCTGTAGTATGCTACCAATGTTGCTAAGCCCTCTATCCTTACAAATCAGCTGGTGGAACTTATGTAGAGAATGAATACATTGAACATGTCTTCAACTGATACATATCAGGTTGCACTACCTGTATTTACAGGGCCCTCAACTGACAACAAAAAGATTGGTCGTGTCAACACTCAACAGTTATGTTTTCTACTAGTAAGCTCAAATTTTGCTCCGCTACTTTTGGACCAGTTCCTCCCTCACTGGAATATAATCCCCAAGACCAAGTTTTTAGCAATACATACGCCCTGGTTGTCGGGAGACTAAGGAGTAAAGTGGGGTTGGTAAATTATGCTTGGCAGCCGGCAGGCTGTGTGCCTGTGTAAGTTTTGCCTTTGATAAGCACGTACCGTCCGATTTGATGTCTACAGTCTAGGTTTACTTTCACGGAACATGGTAGAACAGAGGCCCCGTTTACTAGCCTCGAGCCTTGAAATATCCAAGCATAACAACAAATACGCCTCGTTAAAGCTAATTAAACAAACCAACAAGCGCCAATTGGAAACATGATCACATAACTACACATGAGCCAGTAGTGAACAGTTTGAGGTGTGTGTCACCAGCCACCTAGTTAGTTGATAGGATCAAGTTTAGGACCTGGTTATAATAATTACCTGGGGGTGCACTAATTAGTTGTGATAAAATGGTGAGCTAATTAACTGTGTTTAATATCGGTGTTCTTCGTTGCAACGGCCTTTTCACTGCCAAATATGTCGATATCATACAATACCGCCGGTTTTATGTTATTTCCTGTTCAGCGTTTACAGTTTTGATTTTTGAGATTTGGTTTAAAATTGTGCTCCTTAAGTCCTCATTGAAATGAGATAAAATATTATTTCGAAACGCTCGATAAAACAACGTAGAATTTGAGGAATGAGGACCATTCCTCCATCGGAGGAACATTACAAATCCATGTAAATTGTAAGCTTGAGTACAATAATTGTTATATCAGAGGCAACTCTACGACTTGATTAACTGATATTCACTTTTAAGAAAGTTATACTTTTATTTTCCGGGTTTCCACAATCCACATTCCTCTACTCAAAGCTAATCATCTAGCCTTGTCACCAAAAATGCATTATAACCGTGATCACAAAAGAAGACCACCTTAAAAAGGTAAGCACAAAGTATCCAGTCAGCACAAGTTACCACACCAACTATTTGTAGCAGTACTTAACACCGTTAGTGGGCCGGCACTTGATCTCGCACCTTCTAACACAAACATAAAACAAACCCCCATTACATCACTATTTGGGGAGTGATCACAGTATCACACCACCCTGATAGCAAAATGTTGTGTAATGTCCTGTGATATCATTAGTAGAGAGCCTAAATTGTTGTTCCTAGTCGAGGATTATTTTCCTGTTTCGGATAACGCACAAGCTTACACCCCGCGGTCCTTTGTTTTACCTAGTGATTCGTTTCTTCTTTTTTATGTTTCTGCGAGGTCAAATTGTGTAAGGGAGTCGATTTTATGATAACGTTTTGGTAGTTTTTAAATATTTTTAGATTAATTGTAAAACATAGATCAGATACCTTACTCGGGATTATTATGACCGGGATAAAGTGGCGGGTTTAGGGTAATTTCGCCATATTTTTCCCGAACCACATTTTCACCGGTCGTTAATAAACCCGCCGACTCAGCTTTTAGGGTTCCCAAGGGGTATGGGTGCTCATATTTTAATCGTTGTCTTATATTCACTAAAGAAGACTATTGGGACACTTGTTGTAGGTTTTTCGACTTCATTTGGCTAAAATTACAAAAAATTCACCTTTTTGCCCAATTCTTGTCATATATCCTTATTGTCAAAGTTGATTTAAATAGGCCAATTTTTAATTTCTTAGGTATTGACTATCTCTACATAATGAAATAGGACTCAAAGTAAAAGTAACAGTTAAATTAAAACTTGAATTAATTAAAACTGTCAATAACATGAATCAGTTTCATCAGTCATTTATTCATAATTCTAAACAATGTGAACGATGCATTCTTTCGAAGAAAATTATTTTCCGTCTAGTTTGATTAACCACGAGTCATTATTTCTGTCTACTTTCAACAATTATTGATAATTCGACTTGTTTCACAAGTTTTAGCAATGCAAAAATTTCTAAACTTGCTTATCTCTAATAAGGAAATTTACATCTGAGACAAAATTTTTGAATCTAAAATTGAAAGGTTGGACACCGGTAAAATGGCGACCGGGAAAATGTGGTGGGTTTTGAGCAATTTCGCCATATTTTTCCCGAACCATATTTTAACCGGTCGTTAATAAACCCGTCGTAATAATCCCGAGTAAGGTAACACATTTTCACACAAACTTCACACGTTTCCAAGGCCCAAGCAAAGATTTTCAACGTAGAATACCACTAGAACTGAAAGCAGCTTACTTTTAACTTCAAAAATTCAAATTGTCGTGTCTTCAAAATCATTAATTTGAGTTCCGTCTCTATACTAGTTTGTCATACAAGATCTCCTAATCGGAATGCTAACCCTGAGTCGGGAGACTGCGATAGCTGCTAATGCAGCATGGTGGTGCCAGACTCCGGTAATATTCCACATATCGAGCCCTCAGATCAGGTTTTCTGTAGATTAAGATTACAGGGAACAAAACCGCGTAAATCAGCGGCAATGTAGACATTCCAAATCCACAGAGAATACCTTGCATCTCATGGTCATAGTGCTTGTTGGGTGAATTCCAATTTCCAACCACTCCAGAGTAAATAGCCCATCCAATACAGAAGAAGAAGTTGCAGACGAAGTAGAGAGTGGAGATAAGGAAGAGGGTGATGGACACATGTCTGGAGGTGTTGGGTGGACCTTGAAAACCGGGCTCGTCTTCAGGAAGGTTCTTCTTTAGATACCTCACCTGAATCACCATGCAAGTCAATACAAGGATCGGTGGTATGGCCATGTTGAGGACGACGGCCACTCCGTACAGTAGAAAGTTCTTGACATGTTTACTTATAGGGAAGCATTCTCGGGAGAAACAAGATAGACTTAAGACGGTCAACAGTCCTGGCAGTTCATATCCGAATACCATGTTCTCATATTCCCTCACGTGGTTATAAGTTGACCACTTTGAAAAATATACAGCTATACAAACTGTTTCAGACACATGAAGGCACACTATCACCAGGCAAATGATCAAGGCGGCTTTCTTCAGCCTGTCTGTGCAGATCATTCTAAAAGGGTTGACTATCTTGAGCGTGAGAGTAAGAGTAAGCATGATGTTAAGAAGCTTGGAGCAGCTTATCCCCGGCAGTGCTATTACCATGTAACAGTACAGACTCTTGAAGAGAAGCTCAAGTCTGTCCTCACTACCACTCATGTCATCATCCCAGTCATGATACACCCTGAACACATAGACACTGATCACTGACACCACCATTTGTCCAAGAGCCTTGAGAATATCAGCGAGGGCAATGCCCATGTATATACAGGGCACAAACTTGGCTTTGTCATGGTAGTAGTTCACGAGTATACCAATATTTTGGATGAGGACCATGATTGAGAGGGGTATGTTGAGTGGGACCAGGTCGAATATTCCTCCTTTAAAGACAAGGGACACGTCATCTAAGTTTGAGGAGTAAGACTCGTTCATTCTCCTTCAGAGGTCTTCCTACTTTACATCGAACAAAAGCTTAATGTTTTGGCCCAATATTTGCCGGCTGAAATTGCTACCGGAATTTTGTTTCGCTGACCCTAATGATAGAGACAAAGTTGGCACAGCTAGGGTCGATAAGGTATAACCGAAGAAACAACAGTTTAGCTTGTACAAAGAGAGAATGCAGAATGTGCAGAAAGTTAGCCATGCGTAAGGTATTCTAAGTACTCAACTCAAAGATTTGTTCCTTGGATTTCCAAGTTGGAATGTAGTGTTACGATCTATTGACCCGGTAAATGTGTGTAACTGTAAAGTGTAAACCATCCCGCCTGCAGTCAGAATGTAGCGGTACTAAACCCCTGCTACTAAGACTAAGTTGCATGCCTCTCATTACACCCCTGACAATGCACTGCTCCTCCAGGGGTGACACAGTTAAACACCCTATCAAACCCAGAACCGTGTGACATTGAAGCTAGTAACCGATTTGTAAAGCAGAGTTTCTCACACGCAGCTGCTCCAAACTCCAATCTCACTTCGCACGGAACGATCACGTGTGTGACAGGTTGCCATGACAAACCATGTGCAGATCATGTGACCATCACGTGCTATAATTTCGAGAACCCGTGGTCAAATTTGGAGTGACAGGACCGGGGAAGGAGGGGAATGCACCCAGTAGATATCCAATAATTTGGTTTTGCTGGTGTGAGATATGAAGGGTACCGTGGGTAGGACCCTAATTCCACAAGCTGCATGACAAGAAGCTCCGTACTCACGTAACAGGGTTGGACAACAATCTGAGTACCTCATCAGTTGCTTATATAGAGCAGTGCTCTGTTAGTTTGTAATATGTAAGTCACCTACGTCTCAGTTGCAGTGCCCGCGATATTATTTTCATTATTTGTTTGCAGACTGCTGCGATATTTTCATTGCTATGAGAACGAAATTTTATGAATCAACTGTTCTGTTTATAAGTTTCACATTTCAGGAGTTTCTAATATACTTGAACCTCGAATTTCCTTACATTTAGTTTTATGGCGGTAAAACAGAGCGATCTACATTGTTTACACACCCCTACCCATATTATTTACTAAACAATGTTCCCCTTACCATATGACCTAACTATCAGGTTTCCGGTGTGACCGGGCCCTTTTGTACGAACCTCCAAGTCTCCTATTGTTGTTGTAAGTTTGGGAGAGTAAGTTGGTCTCTGTACAAGTCTGAAACAAACGGGTAGCTGTTGTACTGATCTATTTGTAACCGTTTGCAGTACTTGTTGTGCTGTGTGCCACTTTGGTGGCTGTTACCGGTCAGTTCTGTTCTGCATGATGAGGTGAGTCATGGTTTGTTGTTTGTTGCCACTATGTGAAGTTCAAACTTCCACGATGGATTCAAAAGTTTTACAAACAGTGTCAATTCTTCGTTTACGTTCAAAATCGTGAAGGGTTCTCTAGATAGTTTTAAACTATTTTCACAATTACAATTAAATACATTTATTGAAGATGTAACAGAAGGTATGTGTATAATGTTGATTTAGAGGGGTCCTCAACTGAACTTTCTCAAAATGTAAGTAATGTCTACTAAGTGTGTGTAAGTATACATGAATTATGCTTTAAACCCGTGTTTTCGTGCTTTGCTTATTCATTTGTTACTTAGTGTTTTTTATACTTATAGTAAAAACAAGCACTTTGCTTTTGTTACAAAGATACATTGTTTGGCAATCTGCTTTGAATTTTAACTTCGCCGCACCGTCGAATGATCAAATAATATGACCGGATATTATCGTTAATATTGAATAGTATTCGAACTCCCACTACGTGATCGAATTGTATCCTATCGTTATTGCATGTTACCGTAAAACACGGTGTCACGTGGCAGTAACAAGACAACACCCCTTAATCAGCTGAGATGGTGACGTAGTTTTACAAGAGTGATCTTGCTCGAAATGGGTCCACCTTTTTTAATTTTCATATCACTTTTTCTGTTGGTTCTCTTTTACTTGATAACTTATTCTTAATTTAGTTTCGTAAGAAAGTTAGGAGGTGTTTAGTGTTGCAGAGCACCTATTCTACCTTGTGAAATGTCTCGGTTTTGGAGCTTAGGGTTAATGTCATTGTTGATGAGGTTTTGTTTACGAATATGTCAAGTTATATTCTGTTTTGTATCTGATGGTACTGTGTTCCCTGCCTAGGAGACATATCCCTCTCACAGACACACGCCCACGTGCTTATTTTTCTGGCATTCTCATTGGTTGTTTATCACCACGTGATCCGTCTTCTCGTCCTCTTATTGGCTAATCTGTGTCACGTGGTGGGCTGATCTGCCAGCTGATTGGTTGCTGGTCTGAAAGCAGATAAGCTGTCACATGCGCGGCGGGAGATGGTAATGTTTATCGTGCCCGAGTCAATTTTTTCCGGTTTGATGTAGCCCCTCTATTAAGGGTACATACGTGTTAGCCTTGCTATGGGGGCACAACTTCATACCTCGCTTGTACTCGAGCATTTCTTCCATACGTTTTACAATTCCCGTTTGCTTTTCTCCTTTTCATAACACATTTTATGCACATCTGTGAAGGAGTCCACTATCTGAGCGACCTTCCTGAACCCGAACTACTGTTACTCAATTACCACAACTACATACTGTGCGAATTGTAGTGCGGCCAGAACTTCGTTATCATAAGAACTTACCGTTTTTATAAATGGTATTCATAGAAATGATTCACTTTATCATAATGCAGACTGCAGACACACTAGTTTGCTTGTATACTTTCGAGATTTGGTGATGAGGTTGGCGGCGAACATTTGTGGTGTAGGAAATACAGCAGTGTTGCGGCAGATAGCAATAACCACTAGTAGAACTACTAGTAGTACAATGCGATGATTCGTGCGTAGAACTCTTTTTCACAATTTATTTCACTACTTTGTCCGTATCCAGTATCCGCTATATTTCTTTGTTTTTATTCATTTTATTTCTTTGTTCATGTTGACTATCGAGAATTACTTTGATTGGAAGTGATGATTTTTAGCAGCTAAGTGTCTGCTACTCCGTTCTTCTCTTCTATAGGGTAATACCTGATAACTCATGCTAGTCTCGAGTAGGTCAGTTGATTACTCATCAACCCTCCATTATCTAAACATGGTGCACTGAGAAGCCCTCTGAAGCTCCTCCTGTAGGCAGATATACATGAACATACCTACCTTTTCATATGAAGAAGACCAAATAGCACAATCAAATCAGGCTGGCTAAGTGCACTACTGTTATCAGAGTGGATACGTTTACCAAACTCTCGAACTTTACCATCTAGGTATAATATCCTCATTGCTCTGTAACAACACCTCTATCTTTTTCCCATTAGTAGAGATAAGCATTACTGTCAGCATGCTTCTCACTATTTGCTTAAAAGACTCTGAACGTTAAGGTTTTGTCAATAACACCATCTGTTTGAACTTGGGTCATTGTTAGATATGATTATGTGTGATATGAACATTCTCGTCAATGACTTCCCCGCAATTTTTGAATCAAATTACCAATTGACGCAATCCCCAAGCCATGCAAACAGACAGAGCTGAGCGGATGTCAACTGATTCGTGGAGTCCCATTAGCATGCAATATGTTTTACAGAACAAGTATCGATATGAGACGATGATTCTGTGTGCTGATTGGCTGAGAGCAATCATATGTAGCTTTTTGCAGGGTGTGATTGGTTGGATTGTAAGCTTTTATTTTACAGCCAATATCAGCCTATAAATGGGATTAATAGCTTTAGGAGCCGTAATAACCTTTGTCTCGCTGGAGGAATGAGTTATATGAAATTTAAGCTATGAATTTCGTAAAACTATTCATTATGTAAAACTATCGTAATTTTCTACACCTTAAACCGTCAAGCTGCATATTCTCACACCCCCTAAATCATTAACCATATTTACAAAACATTTAACTGCTTTTCAATAACTTAACCAGCTATATACGTATGTTACAAATATATTTGAGACACAAAAACACCCAGACATGGTGGACTATGCTGGACACTGATCTGACAGGTCTCGATATGTCCGATAATAGGCCCAGTGTCAGCCTACATACCATATTTTAGGACCAAAATGAAGGGGGACGTTAATATTTTACAATTATCCTCGCTTTACTTTCCTGTGAGCGTGAGGCAAGAAGCGCATGCAATATTGGTGGCATAAAGGCTCAATTATTATAGCTAAATAGTACGCTGATTTAACCTTATAAAGCTTTAAGGTCAACTGAAAACCATAGCGTATTGCTTTCTTTTGAAGTTTGATTTCTGTTGCAGCTGAACGATTTAAGGATTTATGTTTGCGCTTGAAACTCCCAACACCTTATCGTGAATTTGTCACGCACATATTTTGTTTTAAAGTAAATGTTACATCCGGTGTTTGGTAAACCTCTTAATAATAACCTTTCGTTTTTACCCAACTCACCTGGACTAACAATATCCTATTTGATATAGCAGGATGATACTCCGAGGTACCGTGCTCCTACTTATCCTGTCCACAGTACAGTGTAACAGTTACTGTTCGGGTGATATGCAGTGGGAAGAGGACGCTCCTATATGTATTTCTACCTGTCCTCAGAGATTTTACTATCAGGTAAGAGCAGAAGTGTAGATGGAGTAGGCTGTGCCATGTGACCACCTTTAGTTTTTGATGTTTATAGACTAATAGAGCCCCAAAAGTGTAGCACAATTCCGTTTAAATCAAGGTTGTTTGCTGCAAAATTTATGAACTATAAATATTTTTCGAGTCCAATGAAAATGTAATTTCTTTATCCCTGCGGGAAGTTGGTCGTTTAGCTCCGGACAGTCTATGCAACGTCTATGCAACGTCCGTGCAACAACAAAAGAACCGTCTATGCAACGTCTATGCAACGTCCCTGCACAATGAACACTCTATGCACACTCCCTGCACGGTCAGTCTATGCAACGTCTATGCAACGTCTATGCAACGTCTATGCAACGTCCCTGCACAGTACCATATGAACACCGGCTACTAGCCGGCTACTAGCCGGCTAGTAGCCACTTTTGTAATAACAGCTCCTCAACTTCACATTAACAACCGGCTACTAACCGGCACTTGAAAAGTGGTCACTAGCCGGCTACTAACCGGCTACTAGCCGGCTAGTGACCACAAAGTGGCTACTAACCGGCTACTAAGCGGTCACTAACCGGTCACTAGCCGGCTCTAAAGCAGACCTATTAGTAGCCGGTTCTAAACCGCCTACTAGCCGGCACTTGAAAAGCGGTCACTCGCCGGCTACTAACCGGCTACTAACCGGCTAGTAACCAACAAGTGGCTACTAACCGGCTACTAACCGGTCACTAGCCGGCTATTAGCCGAGCTCTAAAGCAGACCTACTAGTAGCCGGTTCCAAACCGGCTACTAGCCGGCACTTAGAAAGCGGTCACTAGCCGGCTATTAACCGGCTACTAACCTTCTAGTTCCGGTTTGGAACTAGAAGGTCCGCTTTAGAGCCGGCTAGTGACCGGTTAGTAGCCACTTGGTGGTTACTAGCCGGTTAGTAGCCGGTTAGGTTACTAGCCGGTTAGTAGCCGGTTAGTAGCCGGCTAGCGACCGCTTTTCGAGTGCCGGCTAGTAGGTCCGCTTAAGAGCCGGCTAGTGACCGGTTAGTAGCCGGTTAGTAGCCACTTGGTGGTTACTAGCCGGTTAGTAGCCGGTTAGTAGCCGGCTAGTGACCGCTTTCTAAGTGCCGGCTAGTAGCCGGTTTGGAACCGGCTACTAGTAGGTCTGCTTTAGAGCTCGGCTAATAGCCGGCTAGTGACCGCTTAGTAGCCGGTTAGTAGCCACTTTGTGGTCACTAGCCGGCTAGTAGTGACCACTTTTCAAGTGCCGGTTAGTAGCCGGTTGTTAATGTGAAGTTGAGGAGCTGTTATTACAAAAGTGGCTACTAGCCGGCTAGTAGCCGGCTAGTAGCCGGTGTTCATATGGTACTGTGCAGGGACGTTGCATAGACGTTGCATAGACGTTGCATAGACGTTGCATAGACTGACCGTGCAGGGAGTGTGCATAGAGTGTTCATTGTGCAGGGACGTTGCATAGACGTTGCATAGACGTTGCAAAGACGGTTCTTTTGTTGTTGCATGGACGTTGCATAGACGTTGCATAGACTGTCCGGAGCTAAACGACCAAGTTGCCATCCCTGCCTCATTTACGTACCTCATACAAATCCTGAAGCAGTACAAGCAGTAACTGATTTAGCCTAGATGCTAACCCTTTAAAAGCCCCATGTCTGAAACCCCCTCTTTCAGGAGTGTCCGAGCAGGACGATAAGTAGATGTGTGTGTCCCCGGGACAGACCCGTCCTGAAACGGGAACATGAGACTGTGTGTGTTACAGCTAACAGTTGCGAGGAACCTGACTGGTTTAAACTTGGCCCTGCTGCGCTCAGGAACTTTAAATTCTCTACGGTGAGCTCCATGGCAGAAGGAGGTTTATATGATTGGATTAGATCTTAATCATAAATATGTCAGCGGTGAAGTTCATTATTCTTACAGCTTACACCTGGACATTTTTTCACAGTTTCTCTTAACACAGGAGCCGAAGAACCAGGTAATAACAGCTGGACGGTCCTTGACTCTGTCGTGTTTCGTAAGTGCGGAGAAGCCGGTCCAGTACTACTGGTACAAGATGTCCACTCTCCCCTCCGGGGACATGACTAGTGATGATAACTTATATCTCGCAGGTTCGTTTATCTTGGTTTAGATATCACGGACTCAACAATACCGAATAATTGCCGCTCAGAACTGACAAAAAAATTGTAAATATCTGGTACCCACTTCAAAATAATATTAAAGCTTGTCATAATTTGCATCTTTAGAATATCCGTAGCACTCAACTCCTCTCTCTCTCTTCCCAAGGTTCAACGAGTATCTCAATATCGAATATCAAAGTATCAGATGCTGGCTACTACCAATGTAAAGCTAGGTCCCAGGACGGGTACTCTTTGTTGAGTAGAGTCAGCGAGGTCCTAGTCAAACACACCAGCTTCGACTCCACTGTCACCTCCTCGGATGGTGTCGTCACCAACAAAGGTGGGATATTTATCACTATTTCACTTTAAGAGCAGAACCATCATGATGATTTTGAGTTCAAAGAAATGTATCCCGTCATGATAACTTCAGAAGAACTAATCCATGTTCCTCAGCTCGAGCTATACTGAAGTGTAACAAGGCAAGTGCTTCATATCCACCTGCACAGATACAGTGGACTAAAGATGGGAACAGCATCAGTGAAGCTGACGTCTTCATGAACAGTAAAGTTGGACAAGGCAACTTCGGGGATCTCTACATTCTGAACGTGAAGGAGAACCATGCAGGTATTATTACTGAAGTAATGTCTCTTGTGATCATAACTAAGCCTATTAAAACTTCTTTCGATTCACTTAGAAAAGTCTCATAAACACACCTAGAAACGAGAATTTAAACTTGTCTGGAGCAATACAATCATACCTAAAAAGGTAAAACATTCAACCATCCTCAGGTGTATATAAATGCATTGCAATAGTGAACGACCCTGATGTTGGAGGAACCTTTGTTCTCTCCCAGATTACTTTCAAGATAAGAGGGTCACAGAACCAAGTCAGTGCTTCACCAGTAGCTTTGGAGGATGCTAGTTATGGTGATAAGGTCAAGTTAGGAGAGGACGCCACACTCTATTGCGGAGCTTACGGGTATGTCTCCGAAAATGAATCATACAACCGAATATTTCATTAATTATAATGTCGGATCATATCTCTTTAACTTATAAAACGATATCCATTGGTTTTAAACATCCCTTCCCCAGGTACCCACCAGCAGAATACACATGGGCTAAAGCAGCTTCTATCCAACAAGCCTCCAGTATCACCGGCTGTGGAGAGAAGACTTGTGTCGAGGACTATGGTCGGAGACTGGTCATAACAAATGTGGAAGAGAGTGACTTTGGGGGGTATTTCTGTCAGGTCAGGAACTCTGCTGGACTCAACTCTCTGGTGCTAACCTTGGAGGAGGAACCTAAAAGTTACGAGATCAACTTTAAGGGCATCACACCATCGTACACTATCACTCCTAACAGATATGATACCTTCAACCTGACCTGTGCTGTAGATATCATCTCCACTGATGCGGTAAGTTCTTTCTTTTTGGTAATTTTAACATTTACCCAATATTCTAAAATTTGAACCCAATTCGACGTTTCCAGCTTGTCTTTACCCGTAAAGTACACTGATACAGCCACTTAAAATGTTAAAACCCTGGCTCCCTCAGGTGTACATTGGCTGGTACAAGGACGGTAAAAGTGTGTCAGGTAGCAACAGGATCTACACAGAGGATGTGGTCACCACTGAATCCAGGATCCGGAAGCTTGTCTTCAAGTATCCTACTGATGGGGATCCGGGTCTATACCAGTGCCTGGCGTACAATTCCAAGGAGTTTGTCCAGGCTAGTACAGATGTGGTCATCAAGAGGTATGAGGAAGATAGTGATGAGGTTAACACAGAGTTATGGGAACCTGATGCTCCCTTCGAGTTGAAGTTGTTCAAGGAAAAGAAAGGGGTAGGTGAAACCATTCAATTTGACAAAATACTCTGCTCACCAAAGAATTTGAAAAAAACTGAGTTATGATAAGGAACAAACACTATGATTATTGATTATCTATGATTATTAAGACCTTACGATCACACCGTTCTTCTCTCCCCAGATCCAGGATGCTCATGCGGCCTGTCAAGCTTGGAAGCCTGGTGCTCAGCTAGTATCCATACTGGACAATAAACAAAACGACCGGGTCTTCAGACTTTTACAGAATAACACCATCGAAAAAGCTTGGATAGGTAAGGAAAACATGTTACTTCAGAGTGACGCATCAGACATGGCATATCCAGAATATTTCTGAACAAAAAAGAATATTGTGGTCGAATAAAACTTTTTACTTTTGGAAGCTCCTCGTCATGATATCACAAGATAGAAACAAGTAGCCTAACCATGCCACCCACAGGATTAACGGACGAGAGCAAGGAGGGAAAGTGGCAGTGGTTCACCTTGGAAGAGTCTACCAGGTTCAGCAACTGGAAACAGGACGAACCGGACAATGAGGGCAAAACTGGCAGTGACTACGCTGTGATGGACGTCGCTAAAGCTGGTTAGTTTTAACAGCAGTAGATGTACAATATGTGACCAGTTCAAGATTCAATCGATTAAAACATCCTGTTATTCACGAAATGCCACGTCAAATTGTCATTTGTTCTCATTGATTCTTATCAATGACGTAAGTAGGTTAATATCCCACTCTATTAAAGGAAAGTGGGAGGATATGACGAATACGGACAGCACGTTCCCGTACGTGTGCAAGTATTACAACGCGTCCTGCCCTCTCCTGGACCAGGACGAGGAATTTAAAGAGTACCCTGTTGCCTTCTACACTAAGAAAGCAGGTAATAATCATGTTGTAGGATTTCTAATGTTATCTAGAACCTTCGATAAAAGATCGAAAATTCGAAAAAAACTACTTTTCTAAATTTTGCCCAACAAATAACTACTTTATATCCCAGGTTCTATAGGAGTGTTTGACACGGCTACAGTATCGTGCAAGTCAGGCCAGACAGTGACACTGGTGTGTTCCCCCAGTGGGAAGTGGCAGTTCAGTCAGCCGACCGAGTGCGAGCCACAGGCTGCTATCGGCGCTGCCGGCTCCTGCGCTCATTGGAGTATCAGTTTAATATTCATCTCTTATCTTCTAGCTGTTATGAGGTGAAGATTCATGTGTTTTGATATCTAATTTTAATGCAAATAATTACGAATTTCTTTATATATTGTTATATATATAATATTTCAGTTTTTATTACGCTTTCTAATCTTCCTTCAATCGCTTGGAATATCAGACAACAATTTCGGAGTAACCAAATTTCAAATTAACCGAACATGTATTTTCAGGTAATAAAAATAGTCAAAAAGTAGACATATCAGACAGAGCAAGTGAGCTTAACAAAAAATCAGAAATCAGAAGAAATCGAATGCAAAGATCAGAGCACAAAACGTTCAGAACGACGACTGTTCATTTGGGCACAAGATGGTCCAGATTTTACTGATTGGTAATTTCAGTCGAGCATTCCTGGATTGATGCATTATTTCTAGGGCACAAGACGGACAAACTGGATTGATAATATTGTGGTTACTTTACTTGTATTTATTTTTATTGTTGTTAATGGAAATTACTAACATTTTTACAGAGAAATTATTTCATTAGGAATGTAGAGGTTAAATTCTAGCAAGATCTAGGCTGCTTTTTGTTGTTTTATTTTGATATACACGTTTTTATCGTTATGTAGAACATCAATCATAAGAATATTGCAAAGTATAATGCTATATATACAGGTCGAGCGGCAAAGGTTTTTAAGGAAGTAATACATATCATATTTGTTTTGCCAGAAAGGACTGCTCAAGAATTTTTTCAACACGAACGATCAGCAGTCAATCCATTATCGCTTGAAAATTCAATTGTATCAGAAGTATTTTGTTTTGTGTAAATTATGCTGAACGCTCCCCAATTGATAATTTATTTTGAATATTAAATTTTTTTGTATCGTTAAGTGGTTGTGTTTTATTTATTGTAATAATCCTTTATCTAACGTTAGAAATACATTATCAAGAAATGAAGGAAAGCTTTCCGGTCAAAATGAATGTTATAAGTTGAAAGTTTGCCCATTTGATTACACGAAAGCAAAAAGCAGCTCAAATTACCTCAAAGCAAGGTCGTGCTGTCATACTTCATATAATACCACGTACCAAATAACTATAGTGAATAGAAAACCACATACCTGCAGAATATCTTGCGTTTCTTGAAGATAGTCATGAGTTGTTTGTTGTCGGAACCGATGTCAGCTTCACAGGAGGCACATCTTCCACACCGGCACTCCTTCTTCAGCTCGCAGCACTTGGCACAACTATCTGACATGTCTGGGACAGTTAGAGCGGTTAATTAACACTTTATTGTGATTTGTTTGTATAGAACATGTAACTTTGAGGTATTGAAGTCTGGTCCGGAAACGGCTCAGAAATTTACACACAACACTTCTCACGTAAATACTAGCCGATTCAAAGATAAACTAGCGCGCGCAAATAAATGAAATTGAAATGCAAGAACGATGCCAAACTTTGTTCAATAAACTTTGATTCGACTGTCACGCGTTCCATCACATTTTCTTATCACGACAAATTCTTGTGATCATATTCATCAATCAAACACACATTCTAGTTAACAATCAACCATGAAGGGAAGATGATACTGATAAATCATCAGATATCTATATGTAGCAAACAAAAGAGATTGAAAGATGAGGCTCGGCTGACTGAGTATAACGTTAATTTGTTAGTCTGAGACGGTATCATGTTTCCAGATAAGAGAATTTACGTGCCATCTGTGGACGAAAAGTCATGTACTGTGCAACCATTTGTTTTTACATTCTTTGAAACCGGCTGATCCGAAATTACCGTAAAGAAAGGAAGAAGAGGTTCATAATTGGTTCAGTAATCTTTGGTGGATCACTGGTTATCTTATAACCTCACCATGAAGTTTTCAGGCAGAAAATATCCAGCTAGTAGCCACTCGCTCACTGCTTTCAATATCTTTATCTTTGTGACTTGCATATAATATAACTTTCGACATAAAACGTGGGCAATTGCGGGAGGTGATCCATATTATCTCTACGAAAACTGATATAACTCTTGAAATAGGCATAAAAAAGCTTAAATAATAAGCTAATAATGTTGTTTTACAAAACGTTGCTAAAATTTTTCAACCTCGTTGAACTTTCTACAGACTTTCTTGTGCAATATTTTAAGCGATATGATATGGATTACCTCCCCACCACAACCCACCATAAATTACGACAAAATTATATTATGAGTACCATGCATTTAAATACCTGATCTGAATACATTCAATTAAAATCAAATACCTTCAAGTACAGACTCGTTTTGAAAAACTTTGAAATCCGTTGAAACATTGAAAAATTGAATAATAAATTAAAAAGTCCAAAATTTTTTCATATTATTATATTATATTATATATGAATCACCTCAATTATACTTTTGCTCACATTTACACTTTTGCTCACATCACTCACAGTCAGCCGCTCTGACATGGTTAACCACCTTCCTTGTGTTTTTGATATAGCGGGATATAAATAGCTCATTTCATTTCATATATTATATCTGTATGATTCACCCTTGTGAAAATAAAACGTTTCCCAGTTCCACAGTTTACCAATGAAATCGCAAGTTACCGTGGTGTCTGCACATGCTGCTGCTTCTGCTAAGGACCATGTGATGAGAAATATTTCCCATATCCCAGCATATTTGTACATACTTTCCAACGTGTAGCTTAAGCTTTCGTCCACAATCCACCATCTTGCAATGAATTTATCAGTGTCACTACCTATATGTACTTTGCAGTTGTTATTTTGATAGCATGATATCACAAACTGCTCACCGTTGACGAGAAACTTTATATCCTTGTTACTGCTAAAGATATTCTCCACAAACTCAGAAGCAGGATATTTACAGATAGTGGTGGTTTTTAACCCTTGTTCCTTGAAGCTTATCAGATTCTTGGACAAGTCTGAAAAAACTCCGTGAGCCGGCGGAAACCGGCAAGGTTGTCCAGAACAGCAAATAATTTGGAATGAACATCAAAAATTCGTCCTTCGGAACTCTTCAAATCAGTTTGGCTTAGAGGATATTATCTACAATTTTCATAAAAACTACCATATAGCGGCTCTTTTCAAGGTGTTTCACTCTTTACATTTAGCACTCAGTCACTCAACCTGGTGAAGTTCTGTCCGAGGTTGAAAGTAAGGTCTCCATCACTAGGATCTCCAATGTGGCGTCTTCCAAAGTCAGCCTGAACTTTATTGAGGGCCATGTTATGAAGACTCTTCTAACCCTGGTAAAGTATTGACATTAACTGTGGGTAAAAGGTTTTTTTCAACACAAGGCTTTTTTTCAACACAAGGCTTTTTTCAACACAAGAGCGGCAGAATTTTATAAAATTAAAACGATTTTAGAATACAGGCGAAATTTTGATACTAAAGTAAAACCAATCTTTTTTCGATCAAATGTAAGAATAATTGATATAACATGTTTTAGCAAAACAAGGTGAACAAGGTTGAAGACTGGGTGAATGACAGGGTCATAAAAAGATGAGAAATATCTGAAGAAATTTTTAAATGAGGCATGGAAGGAGGTGAAACACAAAGCAGAGATTGAGTTTATAGAAGTATGTCGTAACTCGTAAGATTAAGTAATACAAACCATCGAGAGTTGTTATTCAAAGTTCTATCAAGAGGTGTTCGTTGAGGGAACTAATTGATTTCAAATGCTACAAGCCTGCACAACGCATCATCAAGGATTTTAAAGTTATCCTCCTCTTCTGTTGATCTGTACCCTTCTTTTGTAAAACAAATCTTTTCCCATCTGACAATAGTATCACTCCGCCCAAATCGCCCGTCGTCCCAGGCATATCTCTAGCTTGCTCATGAAACCGCATATTCCCCAGTCAGTTCCAATACCTATCAGTGATACCACAGCTAGGAGCACCAAACCAGGTGATGGGGAATAGTCTCCATTCTTCAGATAGATAAGAAACTTTTGCTTCTAAAGCAAAATGAAGTTTGCACTTCCTACCTAGTGAGTACCATTTCGCACTGAACTTGTCCGCCTCAGTATATTTTGCAGCTGTTATAGACAGCATGAATTGCTCTCCATTGACGATAAATCGAATATCACTGTCATTGCGAATTTAAAGATTCGTTTCCCAAATTCAGAAACAGAGTATTCATAGATAATTGTTGTTCTTAACTTTGTTTCACTTGAAACAAGCTCCTCAGTATTTCTGAAACTTTTGACCATATCCTCTTGTCCTACTGAATCCAGTATATATCCTCTCAGGTAATCGTGGTTTATCTTACCCCATCCTCTTTCCTCCTTCACAGCTACGGTCTGTTGTATTAATTCTGGTTTCTCCTCTCCTCTAGCATAATACGGAGTAAAGGCTTTGAACTGTGGTAACAAATTTCTGAACACCAAAGAGCATCAAAAAACGAATATATTGAATTCACTTCAGAACTGGAGGCCATTTTTTCAAACATTGTTTCACCATCTGACTACTAGGGTTGCCAACCGATATTATCGGCCGATAATTATCGGCGATAATTTCCCAAAAATCGTTATCGATTATCGCGATAATTTTCGAGAATTATCGCGATAATCAACAAATGTTTATTTAAAGGGTAACATGGCCAAAATTCAACATATTTTTCGAATCTATTTCTCTGTTTGTTAAGTTAAAACTCAGTGCTAGCATAATTTTCAGTGTGATGGTCTGCTGACGTGCTGTGTAGTGTGTACTGTGTAGTGTGTATGAATTTGTGGAAGTGAACATTGAAATGTTGCGTTATCGCATCTAGTAGGTAACTTGGAGGTTGTATGGTCAGACGTAGTTATTGTTGTTTGTTGAATTGCACGAAAAGGAACTCAGACTGCAACGAAACTACAAAACCCGTTGGAGCTCGCTGTGCAGTATGTTGGAGAGATATGACCGGATAACTTATGCAGTGCACAGAATTTTAGATGACTTGGAGCTAGGCAATCTAAAACTGGATGTAGAAGAGACTGAGTTAGCTAAAGACATTACCAAGACTCTCGCACCGTTCAAGATTGTAACTGAGTCTTTGTGTAAAAGAGACAGCAAGCTCGCTCAAGCAGAAGTGATTATTTAGTTTATTGACAGCAAGTAAAGCTAGAAGATATCTGAAATATAAGACTCGCCACTTTCTCGAACCCTTCTCGATAAGCTACGTACACGATATGCCAAGAGAAAGAACCTTCACTTCGTATCGTTGGACTCCTACAACTTCAGATGCCAGATTCCAATCCTATCCCGCTGACAAAAGAATTATCAGACCTACATTAGGGCAGCGATTCGACTACGGTAGCAAGGACAGATACCCTTGCTCGGGAGATAGATCTGTTCACAGCTAACAGGCAGGAAACTGATACTATCAAATAAATACGTCGTGCATATTTTTTATTGAAATCTTTCAAATCAGTCAATTACATACAAGTTTACACAATGAATTAGTTAAATATAATATTGTCCTCTAAGCATGGATTGTCAAAGTTGAAATTGTCTCGGACAAAATGTATGTAACCAAAGGACCTGAGGGTCACCAAAACACAGATATTGAGTGCAAATGCAGCTCCTGCACAAGCATGGGCCCTTATAAAATTGTAATAAGTTACTTTAAACAAAATCACACACCCATTCAATCAATTCATAAAATATTGTGCTGTGAGATGAAATTGAGAAATATGTGAATGCAGACAGCAAGAATAGATAATCTTGAATAAACTATTTTACGGATTTGTTTCTATTGAATAGTCAAGTTCAGAGTCCGAATCCACCGGGATAATTTTCCCCCACATGTAAGTGGAAAGTTTACTTTTAAAATCAGTGATACTCTCTATCTCACGGATATCTAGAGGAATGTGATTCCACTTAGTGTGGGTCCTATAGAAGAAATTCTTGGCAAAAGCGTTGGAGCTTGCTCGAGGTGAGATAGAGCTTACAAAACATAGAGAGTCCATGTGACTATTTCTGAGCCTTGAGTGGCCTTGAAATGGTTGCAAATATGAGGGTAAAGTGACAGGTATATGTTGCTTCACAATTTTAAAGAAGAAGATGAGATCCAAGAAGTCAAAGCGGTCTTCAATCGGCATAATCTTCAGCTGTCTGCATTTTTGAATGTATGTGGATGGTGGATAACTCATATACTCCTCGTGAAGAATCCACTTAATAGCACGCTTTTGGAGGCCCTCCAGCTTGCTTATCTGGGATTTTGTGACTGGTCTCCATATAACCGAGCAATGCTCAAATAGGCTCCTCACTAAAGTGAGATATGCTGATTTCTTTTTTAAATTTTGCTAGAAGCAATAAGTCTTTAAGAACATATTTTGTCTATGAGTATGAAATATGGGCTTGTTAAATAAAAGGGCAATATTGCAATTGATTCTTTAACAAAGTAATCATCACAAGATGCAACATAACACATGAGCATAATTCAAGTATGCAGAGTGCATACAAATATTACTTCAATTATATTGCCAAATTTATCGCCGATAACCGATATTATCGCGATAATTTTGAAAAAATTATCGATTATCGCGATAAAAAATTTGGTACTGATAATGGCAACCCTACTGACTACGTCACAATATTTTCTATACGTTTTGTGGTTGAGAGGAATTGGTAATATACTGATCTGACTTTGCTTAGCATTTCGCGTGTACTTTATACAAATAAAATCAGCATCAGTGCTACTTTCTAGATCCTCTAACACAGCAAATAAGTTCGAGTGAATATCAAGAACTCTTCCCTCAGAATTCTGCAAATCAATTTGAGTCAGAAGATATTTGCAGTTTTCATCAAAACTACCATAACCTCTCACCTTGAGATGCTTTGCCAGTAGCTCCGCCAAAACTTGAACATCAGATTTAACTACAGCCAGACAAAAATCTAGTTGAAGTTTAGTAGATGATGTGATATCAGGAAGGTACTGTTTAACGAAATTGTTCCTATTAAATGTAGAAATGGAGCTCAACTCGCAACGTCAGCTATACGGAGCAAAGATAAAAAAGATAATCAACCACTCTAAGGATAGGGTAGACCTTATAGTGTAGCTGATATATAATAACTAATATGACTAACGTAAAATTACGAGGGAAGTATTAAGCCGACTACTTGTGTATAAGAACAGTATAATCAACTAGTAAACGTATCAACTTACGCTGATACTATTACTAATTAATTTCAAAGACGACAAGTCTGCATAAATTGTCTTTACCTATGCGGCAGCAATCCGTCTGTCCACAAATAAAAGAACCAATACTAAAATACGAGTTGACTCTAGATTTGGAAAGGACCGAGGGGATTCTGAAATAAACATTTCCCCATTCCCATTCATTAGTAGATACTCCATCTTCTATAGTGCTTTTCCAGGTCGGTTGACCAAACCACGTAATTGGGAATAGTGTTCCGATTTCTAAAGCAAACTGGAGGTGACACTTTCTTCCAAACGAATGCCATTTTGCACAAAATTTATCTGGTTGTTCAGCTGTATCATGTGCAGTTGTTATTGATAGCACAAATTGCTCACCATTGATGGAAAACCTAATATCCTTGTTACAGAGAAAGAATTGGTCTACAAACTGAGAGGCAGGATATTCACAGATAGCAGTAGTTTTTAATTCAGTCTCCCTTGAAACTAGCTCGTCAGATTCCATGAAAATATCAACCAAATCCCTTGACCGATGATAACATTTATAGATCCTTTCAAGGTAACGCCGGTTCATCTTACCCCAACCTCGTTTCTTTTTTACAGCTAAGAGTTCCTCATGTGTTGGAATAACATCCCAATGATGAATGATAGTAGTCCACAAGGCATCAAACAATGAATACATGGAATCTACTTCAAGACTTGTAGCTAGCTTCTCAAATATCAAATTGATTCGGTCATCATAATATATCGGAAGAGATGTGAAGCCAAGAGAATTAAGTAAAGGCCGACTTTGGAGCAGTTTAGAGTTGCTTTCAGACTGCTTGTACTGATCGGAAAGTTGCTCGTATTTATAGTGAAGAAGTGTTAAGTCTTTGTGAGACTTCTCAGAAAGCTGCTCGATCTGCTTAGAATTCTGCTTAGAATTCTGCTTGTACAGATATCGAAGAAGTTTCAGGTCAGTATCAGTGCTACTTTCTAGATCCTCTAACACAGCAAATAATTTCGAGTGAATATCAAGAACTCTTCCCTCAGAATTCTGCAAATCAATTTGAGTCAGAAGATATTTGCAGTTTTCACCAAAACTACCATAACCTCTCTCCTTGAGATGCTTTGCCAGTAGCTCCGCCAAAACTTGAACATCAGATTTAACTACAGCCACACAAAAATCTAGTTGAAGTTTAGAAGATGATGTGATATCAGGAAGGTACTGTTTAACGAAATTGTTCCTAGCAAATGTAGAAATGGAGCTCAACTTCGTAACTGCAACATCGTAGAACTCATTTTTCTTGATAGCAATCACTACATAAAGTGCCTCACTTACCGCAAACAAAATATCCAAGTAGCTTGCGGACCAGTTACTCAATCCCTCCACATATGCTACAAAGTACTCATTACATTTGGCACTCAGCCAGTCAACCTGAAATACGTGACCCATCTTGTTCACGTCTCTGAAGTTGTCCTGGTTCAATGCCTCCACTTTCCCCGTATAGCAAGCCTCGATGAAACAATCCACTGCCTCCCTACTGAAATCATCTGCTTCCAGGCACGTCTGCTGAAGTTCTGTGGTCAAGTGATGGATTACAGGACTGTTCAGGGACAGAATGTTTGAGTCAGCTTTTATTGTCTTAACCCCCTCTCCGAGGTTGAAGGTAAGGTCTCCATCACTTGGAGCTCCAATGTGCCGTCTTCCAAAGTCAGTAGGGACACTCACCTGATTAAGGGCCATTTTGTCGACAGATCTGTCATGAAACCTGACCCTGCAGTAATTATATAAGTTAGTCAAAAGCATTTGTTCGAGTGATGAGATCACGAACCTACCAATTCATATGGTCAATGAGGGAATGAAAATTAAAGGCCACAACTACACTTTTGGAGGGGTTAAGTTTGGCCAATGTATGTTATAATGTAATACAGGAGGTTCCTAGGGCTAGATGTTTTTTAAAAGTAAATTATTCAAACAATATACACATAATTGTCACCATGACCCTATATAAAAACAACCCTTCAAAAAATCAATATGTCCCCCATCTCAAATATTGGGAGACAAATTTGAAAATCGACCTTGGCCTTCAGCCTTGTGGCTCCAAATTCAAACCTAAACTATTTATATCAACAAAGTTCTTTCTCGCACCTCTGTCTTCCCGTAGATAAATCACTGTTGTTCTTAGGATTTCGAAACGAAGGCGCTTCCTTATGTATCCCAATTCCCACAGCATCTGAATACTTTTGCCCTGTGTGGTATTCCATCTTACTGCCATCTTCTTTACTAGTCTTTCAGCTTCACCACCAATTCCACCAGGCGCTGAGAAAACTAACGGCGTGAAGCTTCCTTTCTGTACTTCCAGAACCCTTGCATTGTAACACTGTTTTTTCTCATTTTCATGGGACTGGTACATTGCTGGTATCGATTTGCTTGCATTGGAGGGGGCTGGGGCATGGAATACCCTTACATCAAAATATGCCCTCTCTGAAGCATTCCAAATCGATCTTGCAGAAATGTCCAGCCTAGCTTGGTCTCCTAGGACTGTTCCCTGAGGTTACTCTAAACCATCAACTGGAAGAAGAACTGGCTCAGTCTGCACATCCTTGTATTTCATAGTTCTCATTAGTTCTGCAAAGGTGTCTCTAAACGAGTTGTGCCGCAGTGACACATACCCACCAAGTTTGCAGATGAGCGCATGGTTTGCAGAGTATTTCTGGCCACACGTACATGTCTTAGGGCTATCCTCTAAGTTCAGGTTATATCTGAGAGCTATTGCATCTGAGAACTGTTGTTTATTCATCAGATATCCATACTCTTTTAAAGGTAGTGCTGTTAACCAAGCACTTGCCCCTTTCTCAGCAGCTAGTTGGAACATGAACTTTGCCAGTGGTGTTGACTCAAGCTCCTGGGTTCTGCTGTGTTTCCAGTCCTCTGTGTAGTTGTCTACCTGCTTGAGAATGGCTTCTTTTAGATGTTTTGTAGCTTTACAGGAGAATATAGTACTCTCAATCTGCCATGTCCATCATAACTGGAATACCTAATCATTCATATCTTGGCGGTAGAGCCATTATGTTCCTTAGTTCATCAGTGCAGCTAAAAAGTCTGTTGATTATAGCTGGGATAAACTCATCACGTGTTACTTGTTCCAGAGGATTAAGCCTATCTGCCACTCCTGGGGTAGTTCTGCACACACAGTTCCATCTTTTACTAAGCCCATACACGTATGCACTGTATGCTATATGAGGTTCTCTTGATGCATGATGCTATATCACTTAACTGATTAAGATCACGACACCATTCTTGAACTTTTTGTGGGTATTTTTTTGTGAAAGTTGAATTCAAGATAGCAGTTGACCAACAAACTAGGACCAGTGACCGAACTTTTGAGGGTGTCCCGGACCCCAACCGCCAAACGGTGCCCGCGGGGCAGCCACGCCCATATTTGGTCCAAATTAGGGTCAATTTAGCCAAATACCCTGAACATGCCCAAAACCCAGGTTTATGGTACTCTACTTGTAGCTGGTGGTCTCCTGAACTCGTATATGAAATGTCATCAAGATTGGACAAAAATGAATGAGTTACGAGCCAAAAACCATATCACATATGCCCATATTTGGGCATACGCACCAAATTTGGTAGATTTCGTCCCATAAATTGGTCAAATATCAATATTTTTGGATTAGACTAACTTTATATGAAAGGTAGGCCTAAACTACATATTCTCTGTAAGTTATAGCTTTATATCTGTTTAAATGTGGATACTAAGGCGAAAATACCCCAAAAAATGAACAAAATTGCTTGTATCTTCGTTCGCGATATTCGCGGAATTGATTTCATCAATTTGGAAATAACTCAATCAAGAAAGAAAAAATTTTTAAGAAAGAAAAATTTGTATTTACCACAAAACAATCAATACATAATGTTATATTCATAAATAAATTCAAATTTCAATTTCAACCACATATACAGTACGCCGTGCACACAGCCACAGTTGTTGAGAAATTCTTAGGTGCAGCTGGAGGCATTTCTTAATTACTAAAGCCAAAATTTCAGAAGCAAGATATTTCTGTCGTTCGCGCAGTACAGGCCGTGACATGTGAGCACTGCGAATCAGTTTTCAAAATTTTTGCATGAAATTTTCGGAATCGACTCTAAATCGCATTTCGACCTTATTTTAGGAAGCCGATTTTTAATTTAGGCCTCCAACAAAATTTGGCGGCCAAATTCCAAAATGTGCATGGCAAAATTCAGAATTTGGCCGCCAAATTTTTAGAGCAAGTAGAGCACCATAAACCTGGGTTTTGGGCATGTTCAGGGTATTTGGCTAAATTGGCCCTAATTTGGACCAAATATGGGCGTGGCTGCCCCGTGGGTACCATTTGGCGGTTGGGGTCCGGGACCCCCTCAAAAGTTCGGTCACTGGTCCTAGTTTGTTTTTCACAAAAAATACCCATTGGCTCCCCCCCTTAACTTTGATTGTAGAAAACATCTTATCTACAATCTAGCCCATAATGAACACCCACAGAATGCCTGCTAGACTGTTCATTGCAGGAGGAGATGATCATATTTTTAGTGAAGGAGGGACTACACAAGGTGACCCACCTGCCATGGGATTTTATGCCTGTGGTACAATACCATTGATTGATGCAGGAAACATTGCACATTGGCCCCCCCCCCCCCCCCCCCCTTAAAAGAAGTAAACGAGGTAGCCATGGTAGCTACCTTTTCACATGCATATAAATCTTATTACAATTTATTGTTCAAATATAATTTTTTATTTATTTACAATAAATGTTACATGTACATACATGGTAAAGTCTCCTCCTAGTCGTTGGAGTGGCCTGCATCACACACATTGCGTTGGCGGCGTAACATATGTCTCCACTGCAGTACTCGGTTGGTGGCCAAAGCTTCTGTTGTGTCGTTGTCGATGTTTTCAACACCTGTAAACTTAGCCCCTTGACCTCTTTCCATAATTTGGCTTCCAGTTCAACAGAAACCTCGGTAGTCTAGAGTCTGGCATTCTAACTACATGTCCAATAAATGAAGAAATTTATTCATTATGTTGTTGGTAGTAGAAAAAGCTTAGGAATAGGGTTTCAATTAGTTGCCTTGATGTTTTGGGTGGAAACTTAGGATTTGTGGAGCTCACTCTGTTTAACTTTTCAACTGAGACTGTTAAAAGTTAAACAGAGTGTAATGTTACTTGATCGAGACAGTTTTTCGCCAATATCTCGTCAGGGGAGCATTTTAACTTTATGTTTCACATAACCATGTGTCTACGCGTACTAGTCTATGTAATAAGCGCCATGAGTTGGCACAGAACTTTTTGTCTCTGATTTTGATAAAACTGGTACCAAAAGTTGCCTCTAAGTGTGAATAATGCAAATTCACCGTGTAGCAAAATAACATCGAGCTATATGTGGGCCTCCTGTGCATTACTAGAATGTACAAAGGACGAAAAATGGGTAATTTATTGCTTAAAATGCCTATTACTCCTAAAATATTAAATATTTTGAAATAATTATTACAGCATCGTAATGCGCTTAGTCAGACGCAACTTTTGGTACCAAAATTATACTATCTGAAGCACCAAATTTTTCAAAAATTTTTCAAAATTTCACCCTTTTGTTCAGATTTAAAAATTTTGAAAATAATTTTCCTTTAAATCTTGAAATATTAGTACTAAAAGTTTCGTCTCGATGAGCTGATTACGATGCCATACTAAGTATGTGATAATAACTGAAAATGTGAAAGTTATAGGCCAAAAAAACGCGGCTTGACATACGTTGCATGCCACTTTTCGCGCGCGTATTTGTGATACGTAACATGTATCAACGCGCGGCGAACAATCGCCGTGTAGCATTTTTAGCGAAAATTGCTACACGGTGGATTTATTTTATTCACATTTTTACACACATTTTGGTACCAATTTATCGAAATCGGAGAAAAAAAGTTCTGTGCTCGCACTTGGCGCTTTTTACACTGACTATACTGCGTGACGCGCTTCTTTCACGCGGTCGTGCGTTACTGCAAGCGAGAGGGCTCTACTTAAAGCAAACTCTATGTCATGGGGTGATTCGGAATCAGCGTCCGAAAATACATCGATTGAAGTTTTAACGGGTGATACTCCGAAAATATTACCGTCGACGAGTCCAACTCGGCGCGCGTCCTAAAAAGTTATAAACCTACAATTGAAGTTGGTTTTAACGTGACATACATTGATTCAAGATGTCAATCCTTGTTACTCCTGTTTTTAGGAATGCGCGGCTTTGGTGACCATTTATTGATTTATACATAAAATTGAATTTTAAATAGAAATATGAATATTTTAAAATAAAAATTCTCAAAACTCAGGCTTATAAATATCATTATAATATATTTGTAAAATAAAGGATGAAATTATAAATTTGTTTCACCAAAAATAAATTTGTTTCACTGTTATCTAACAATTACATATCACATTTATTAATTACTAGAGCCAAGATTTCAGGAGCAGAATAATTTTAAAACAGGCGCTTAGCCTGTCATACCGCCAAATTTGTTATGTTTTGAACATAATAGCCTGGGGTCCCCATGTAACATTGTTCTTCGCCAATTGCATCACTTGACTTAATTTATTGCATATATGGTGTATACTGTTTGAAATGTTTCTCCCAATATTTGAGATGGGGAATATATTGAGTTTTTGAAAGGTTGTTTTTATATTGGGTCTTGCTACTATTTATATTATTTTGCAGTTAGCATTCAATAAAACAATAAGTTTTAAGCTCGGCCTGTAACTTCGCCATATCTTTTTGCTTAAACAGTATAACCTGAGGTGCCCAGGTTATATGGAATACAATAAAATACGCCATTGGAGGACTTCGCCGCTTCGACGCTCCGCGCGAACTAGCATTCTTGCTTCGCATCGAATGCATCGTCGATGCATCGTCGATCGTTGCTCTGCTTCGCAGAACAACGATCTCGATGGGTTGACATCGTCAACCAAAATACGCCATTACGGATCGTGATTGGGAAATTGAAGGGTCATCCATAAAAGAAAATCGGCTGTGTTTTTTGTTATTATTTACAGTTAGAGGTAACTTTTGGTACCCAATTTATCAAACTCAGGCACAAAAAATTCCGTGCCAACTCATGGCGTTTATTCCATAGACTAAAGAGGGTCTCCCCATTTATTACAGGCCTGAGTAAGGCTGCATACATACCAATGGCTAGAGCATCGGCCGTTTAGTATAGGGGTTGGATACCCCAGCTAGGCGTGGGTGGGACTCGTATAAATACAGATCTTCCTTCTAAGCTTGAGCTCATCATTACTTACACTTCCATTACATAGTAGACTTGGATGAATTTTGGATCTCTGGACCAGTTTAGGATCACAAAATGTGAATTGTCCAGCTCTTTCAGATTAAAGAACTCGTTGACAATACTAATAAGATATGAACATGGCTAAAACACGTCAACATGGCTAAAACTGGTCAGTGAATGAATTGCAGTATGTTCTTCATAACCACAAGAGCATTAGGGGATGGCCATTTCATTCTGTCAAGGTAAAAAGAAATGAGTAAAGGAGATTGTTTTTGTAGAACAAGCTCATAATTGGTAATTTTTTCTGCTAACAAACTGGGGAAATGCCCAGAGAGTGGTAGACACCTTGGGAACTTGAGACCAGCCCTTCATTTGTATAGTGGTGTAACGTTGCCTGTTGGCGCCCCCGCGAAAAAGATCTTTATTTTACTCAAACGGTCGATTGTAAGCGCATGCATGATCAATCGTGTTGTCGGGTGTTCAATTCTCGTTCGGACAACTCAGCCGCGCCGCGCAGTTTTAACACTCAGTTAATTGCAAACAAGTACAAAGCACATCAACGTACTCTTAATCTATATGATCAAGTTGTCCTAGGTTGTCCAGGACAACCTGCAATTTTAACTATCGACTGCTAGTGCCATTACACTGCGCTGCGCGGCTGAGATTGTACTCGTGTGGTGTCTTATTTCACCAATTTTATAAGTTTCCGTTTTTGTTTGCTGTCGCCTGTGACACATTACATACATGAGGCCCTGTGTGTAACTGTTATGTCCAGACACTAATCTAATATTGTATATGACTGTTTTCCTATTATTTGAAACTATGTATATTTTAAAATATTGTGTTATAATTTAAACCATCCATACATTCTAGGGTAGACCAAAAACCAAGATGGCTGAAGTTGTTCAAAGTCATATCGAAGAGATGTTGCCTGAGGTTTACGAACTTCAGCAACTAGGTGTTTTGTCATCAGTTGAGGGAAAATCAGTTATTAAAACTAGAACAGACTTTGAGTATAAAATGCGACGGCGCATTTCAAAGAAACAGGATTTTCTTCGATTCATTGATTTTGAGCTCAAGCTTGAAAAACTTAAGCAATCAAGAATCCTCCAACTTGGTTTAAATGATGTCAGTGAGGGAGCCAGATATAGAAGCTTGCAGCGTATTCATTTCATTTTTCAGAAATGTCTGAGAAAATACAAGAGTGATGTGCCTCTTTGGATTCGATACATTCAATACTGCAAACAGGTTTCAAGTACCCGATCACTTGGCCTAGCTTTTGTTGAAGCCCTGAAACAAAACCCCAATTGTGTTCAGTTATGGATTATGAGTTCCAAAAATGAGATGGAGGTGAATAAGAATATATCAGCTGCACGATCGATTTTTCTGCAAGCGTTAAAGTTTAATTCAGACTCTGCTGAATTGTGGACAGAATATTTCCGCCTTGAAGTTTTACATGTTGAAAAACTTCAAAAACGCAGACAAATCATGGATGCATGTGATAAACCTTCTGCTCTTGCAGCCACGGATGATTTTATGAACTTCAAGACTGCAAGGATTGTGTTCAAAAATGCTCTCAGTTCCATTAATCTGACTTCTCAAACTCTGTCTGGATTTACTGATGTTGTCGGAAAGTTAGAATTTAATGGAGATGAGCTCATGAAATTCTTGTTTGAAGCTGCCCTAAAACAATCTCCCGACAATTCATCTTTGTGGGTCTGCCTAGCTGAATTCGTAGTCACTAAAGATGTTGCTAAAGCCCAAAGTATCTTACAGACAGCATACAACACAATTCAAACATTTGAATGTCTAAAAGATATAGTTTTGTTCATGATCACGTTCACCGAGAAGCTTGGAGATATACGACAAATGATGATGGAATTTATGAACAAAAGCCTTGATGAACTTTCAATTGGCAGCCCAGATACAGTAATCTTTCTTGGAGATAAGATGATTGCAAACAATTTAGCCGATTTTCTCCCCAGAATATATGACGTTGCTCTAAAGAGATACCCAAAGATTAAATCTTTATGGCTCTACAAGATTCTTAATCTCTCAGATGATCCCAGCAAAGACCTAGAAGATGCACTCTCTGCTCTACCAGACGATCCTGACATACTATCTGAATATCTCACCAATTTGTCCTTTACTGACCCAGCCAAATGCAGAGCAAAATGGGATGAAGTTATGAAGGAGACCTTTGCTTCCCCTCTTATTACCCAATATCTACAGTATGTCTGCACATCATCTGGGTTGGAGAATGCTAGAAAAGTATTTAAAGATCTTCAAAACTTGCACACTGTACCCGAAAATGCTGTTGTTGCCATGTTGAATTACGAAATGGTGGATGGGACAAATGTGGAACAAGTCTGCCGCTCATTTAATCTCCTGACCACGCATTTCAATACAACTAAGAATTGGAAAATGTATTTAGAGTTCTGTCAAAAGAATTGTCCAGAACAGATATCATCTGTGTTGTGGAAATGCAGAAACAGTTTGTCTGAAGCACAGGTTGCAACCTTATTGTAGAGTAAAATTCTGTTATCACACTTTTCATAAGGTTATCGGAAAACTATTTTTAAACCAGGGAAACTACCTGCTGCTGAGTGTTTTAATACAGTAACTACCATATATGCAATAATAACTGGGTTATTTATTATCTTAATTTATTTTAACACAGTTTGACATACTATTTTGATCTTTTACATTTTATTATGTGCTTTTTCTTGCGTTCTTCTAAGACATTCGATACAGTCTGAACCATTACAAAATATTCTTATCTTGATCGTCATTTCATTATTGAGTGTTATATGTAAATATGTCAATATTGTATTGAAACTAGGTTCCCAATAATATGTAGTTCCTAGCAGTGGTCTATAAAAATTTCATATCCCAGCAGAATGGCTCTTAGAATGACACACTCCTTATTTAGATTATCTACACAATTACATATTACATCAAGGTTTGTTCGTTTTTTTTTCGTTCTTTGTTTCGTAAATAGCCCCCTTTTCTTTCTTAACTAAATCTGAAATCCATTTTTAGCTTTAAGTACAATAATTACATTTCAGGACCTATTCGCAAGCTGCAAAGGCATTGGTTGATAATGGAATAAGAGATAACAAAGTATTTGTGATCAGTAAAGTGTACTGCCCTTTCTGTTTGAAAGCCAAAGCAATCCTCAAATTTGCAGGTTTCAACTATTTTTGATGTAATCACAATAACTTACATTTGATATTTTTTTACATTATAAAATTAGAAGAATATCATTCATTTATTATTATCATAATCTTAACCTGATGTCCTGATGGATTTGATATTTTATCCCCCTAGCTTAGGTCGTAAATCATTTCGTTCATGTTTAGTATTTATTTATTATTAATTATGATGTCCTCTACGTCAAATATGTGTAGTCTAGTTATTTCACAGGATCAATAACGAATAATCAACGAATATCAAACATATAAATATCCAGGTCTAGAAGCGTCAGTGGTGGAGATAGAGAGCAGGGAGGACTGTACTGATATTCAGGACTACTGTAAGGAGCTGACTGGTGCCCGGTCTGTACCGCGAGTCTGGATTGACCAGAAATTAGTTGGAGGAGCTGATGCTGTAGAGAAAGCGTATAAAGACGGAACTTTGTGAACATAACTTGCATTGTTTTATTTAAGTGACTGTTATAATTAGTTATAATAAGTTATAATTAGTTACAATTAAATGAGAACGGGGTGAAAGTTCTTGATTAAATGTTGTAATACGATGCCTCTTATAAATCTGGATTAGCTTTGTGTATCTAGCTGCTGTATGGTGGCCAGTTCTACAACTAGATTGAATTACTGAGTACTGACCCTCTTGAATAAATCTCAATCTTTTAATTTATTTATCATGCTATGTTTATTTCATTTTGTATCGTTTTTGTGTGATTTGTTTTTAATTTATAGAAAGTGCTATATAAATTAGTAGTAAATTTTAGTGCGCTAATGAAATGTATTATCAAATAGAATGTTTGTTTTAACCTGGAGATGAAATATTTTCAGAATAGATTATTTATAACATTTTCATAGTTTTATTTTCCTGTCGCAATGATTTCATTGAATAAGCAAACCAAGTACAAGCATCATTATTTCATCTCAAAAGGTATTACCCCAATTTCAATATATAATAAGATTTAAATCAAACCTAGCTCAAGAATCACGATAGGTGCGACCAGCAGTTCTGCAAATCACAGCACCATGGCTCAACAAATTGTAGATAGTGGTATCAAGGAGAACAAGGTGTTTGTGATCAGTAAAACTTACTGCCCTTTCTGTACCAAGGCTAAGAAATACCTCAACCAAGCTGGTGAGTGTAACCATCATAATATCTTAATCATCATAATATCTATAATTAACTTGTAGATTACTCGATATCCTATGACAGTTAAAATTGTTTGTCACGAATACAACATGTGTTTACACTTTTATAATAATCAGAGTAATTAAAAAAAACCCAACTCACAGGAATAAAAGATGCAAAGATATTAGAGATAGAGGACATGTCGGAGATGGACGCTATACAGGACTACTGCAAGAAGCTGACCGGTGCACGGAGTGTACCCCGTGTCTGGATTAACGGCAAGTTCATTGGAGGAGGAGATGATGTGGAGCGAGCCTTCAAGAAGGGGGACCTCCAGAAGATGGCTTAGCTTTTCTTAGTGTCCCGTTGAAAGTAGAGTCCTCGTTTTATAAATGCTCTAATAATATGATTGTTTCATGGTATGGTTCGTTATGCAGATAAAATATATGAAAAAATTTACCTGGTTTCGTAATTCGTAATTCCTTAAATTTATACATTTTCATACTTGGTAATATATTTTACTGAAAGTTTTACCATGATATCTTCCTTCTGTAATTTACGTGTCGGTTTTTACCCTGTTGAGTCTATTTATTAGAATGTTTGTTTATCGTGACGAAACATTGTTTTATTCTTGAATAGTGTACTAACTATTAAGGGGACATACACCAAAACCTTTTTTGCCGGGACCCGGGATTTGACTTCATATTATGTAAGTATAGATTACAACTGTAAGATCTGAGGCATTGAAAAAAATTTTTGAGAGTACGCACTTTCGAAAAAAAATTATTTTCTTTTTCGAAAATTTTGAAAATTTTGAGAAGTCTGTCGCTGTAATACCGATATTTTAGTCATTTTAAAAGTTTTTTGGCTGATTTTTTTACTGAACTTTACTTACAATCCGGGCAAGAAGCCTCTCAAAGGATTATACAAATATTTAATAAATGACGAAGTTGCAGACTGAACAAGGTCGAAAAATTGAAATTAAAATTGTTGCAAAAAATCAAAGTTCTACATTTTACCAATCACCCAGGTCATGAGATATCGCTTCAAAAATTTTTGTGAGTGTAGCTGATGATCATATCCTACTTTTTGGAACAGGATTTCTCTCAGTTTTGAGTTTTAAGGCATGAAATGTGGCTTCAAACGACTTAGTAAAATTCATCGTAAAAAAGGGCCAAACGTGTTAGATTTAAGGCTTAAAATGCCTATAACTCAAAAAGTGTCAGTTTTTTTGAAATAATTTTTACATAATCGTAATCATCTTGATAAGACGAATCTTTTAGTACCAAATTTATAATATTTGAAGACACAAAATTTGTAAAAAAATGTGTACAATTAGTACAAAATTGATGAAAGGGACCCTTGTGTTCGAGCTAAAAAATTATTTAAGACAATTTGTCTTCTAAAATCACCTATTTGGTACTAAAAGATTCGTCTTATCAAGGTGATTACGATTATGTAAAAATTATTTCAAAAAAACTGACACTTTTTGAGTTATAGGCATTTTAAGCCTTAAATCTAACACGTTTGGCCCTTTTTTACGATGAATTTTACTAAGTCGTTTGAAGCCACATTTCATGCCTTAAAACTCAAAACTGAGAGAAATCCTGTTCCAAAAAAGTAGGATATGATCATCAGCTACACTCACAAAAATTTTTGAAGCGATATCTCATGACCTGGGTGATTGGTAAAATGTAGAACTTTGATTTTTTGCAACAATTTTAATTTCAATTTTTCGACCTTGTTCAGTCTGCAACTTCGTCATTTATTAAATATTTGTATAATCCTTTGAGAGGCTTCTTGCCCGGATTGTAAGTAAAGTTCAGTAAAAAAATCAGCCAAAAAACTTTTAAAATGACTAAAATATCGGTATTACAGCGACAGACTTCTCAAAATTTTCAAAATTTTCGAAAAAGAAAATAATTTTTTTTTCGAAAGTGCGTACTCTCAAAAAATTTTTTCAATGCCTCATATCTTACAGTTGTAGTCTATACTTACATAATATGAAGTCAAATCCCGGGTCCCGGCAAAAAAGGTTTTGGTGTATGTCCCCTTAAGCCTTGACTGGCTGAATCGTATTTATATAAAATTTCATACGTGAAATCACATATTAGAAACTTGACATCGGCTAATTAAAAATTAATGTTATTTCAAGATCCGTATTTATTTCTTTATTTATCCACAATTTAAATTAATCTATCCAAAGTACATAAGGTCTGAGGTCATGCCTTACAAATTTTAGAACGCTTACTTGCATGCTGTACAGAGTTGGCATAAAAGTGGAATGGTAACAATAGCCAGTCAGCCTCAACTAGTGCCCCTCACCAAAAAATCTCTTACCGGTTTCATTAAACTTTCTGATAATTCCGAGTATTTTATATCCGTTGACTATAATCGTCAGCCTCCTGCAGTGACTTTTGACGATGACCTCAAGTTAGAATTCGACAAATATCCTTCAAAACTTGCAAAGATTGTAGAAAATTCGGCAACATTGGAATCTTTTGTTGCAAACTTGGTCACTTTTCTAGAGGATATCCTAGTTAGTCCCACGGATAGTAAACACTTGTTGATACTCATCAAACAAGTCGCAAATCTACCATCAGACTGTGTTAAATCAATAGACCAAGACTTCAAGCAGGTCATCTTGAGGCACACTGACGAAAGTAACAGAGAACACCACGTTGCCATTCAGTTGGACTCAAAAACTCCCACATTAACATGCGACCTTCCACAAGAGCTCATAATATCAGATACGTGGTCATGTCAGGAAGTTTTGAGGACTTTCAGAGAAGTTATAAGTCAGTACCAGGTACTGTGGGACATTCTGGATGACATTGATTCTAATTGCTGGGTTATTGAACCTGAACCATACACTCGTGGTGCTGTTCATCGTAGAATTGTCCTGAAAGGAGATGTATCCCTGATAGTTACACTTGATCCTTCTCAGCCCACTACGTTGCCGAGGTGCCGGTTTCTGGGCTCAGCTAAGTCTATACAGCCTTTTCAGAATCTCCTGGATGAAAAAGCGGATGAGTGGGACCCTGCTCTGGGAATGGTGGAGAATCTAGCCACAATTTCAGATCTGGAACTTCCCAGTAAGCCAACTGAGGAGAACAGTGCGATTTCTATTGAATGTGGGGTGTGCTATTGCTATGAAATGATGGACCAGATACCGGAAGTAAGTTGTAACAATGAAACGTGTAAGCAGTTGTATCACGTGGACTGTTTGGTTGAGTGGTTTAGGGGATTACCAGATGTGAGACACAGTTTTGGGACTGTGTTCGGGGAGTGCCCGTATTGTAGTAAGCCAATGCATATTCAGGCTGTGCTATGAATTGAATTCTCTGCAGTTTTTGAAAATTACAAAACTGTTGCTATTGGAATGTTGTTTGGTGATTGCCATGGTTAAAATTTCGATATAGTTATTTCACACATGTCTTGTAATATTTTTTTGATGATATTTATAATTTTTCGCTTTATATTCTGTATCTTGATTATTTTGTGACCTTGAGAAATTGTCTAAATATTTTTAAAAAGCGAACGACTATTGTATTCTTGCAACAGTTTCCTAAAATGAAAATGATAGGAAGTTCCACCCTAGTTTTTAAATGCAGCTTTAACTCACTTCAATAAATGTATATAATATTGTGAGTGCTACTAATCTTACAAACTAACATCCTAATTTCAGATCATGTCATGGCATCTGTATCAGTTGACGAGATTACAATAAAACTAGAACCTTCAGAGATCGAGGAAAACGTCGCCGTTTCCAATAACTCCGCTCACATCACTTCTGAAAATGAGAGGGGTACCAGTAAAAAGAGAGGGGTACCACTAAATGAGAGGGGTACCAGTAAAAAGAAAATGCCCAAAATCCCCCGTCCGATTAAAACTTATCATTGTAGTTTGTGTGAGTATGAAGTAGATAAAAAGAAGCACCTGAAGGTTCATAATATGACGGTTCACAAACATGCTAGACCTTTTAAATGTGAGCAATGTGTCTACACTACTACCAGAAAAGAGTACCTAAAAGAGCACTCCCGCACCCACACAGGGGAACGCCCCTACAGATGCATGTTCTGCGAGTACAAATCAGGGCATATGAAGACTCTTAAACGGCATCTGACTATTCACAGCGATGAAAAGCCTTTTAAATGTGATCATTGCGATTATGCTTCCAGACAGAAACAAACACTTGTAGTCCACGTAAGGAAGCACACTGGAGAACGGCCCTTTCAGTGTAACGTTTGTGAGTACAAAGCGGGTCAGCTGAGCACTTTAAGAAAGCACATTAGAACCCACACAAACGAGAGACCGTTCAAATGTGAAGTTTGTGAATACGCAACCACCAGGAATGAACTCCTTGTAATTCACATTCGCAAGCACACCGGTGAACGACCTTTTCAGTGTGATTCGTGCGAATATAGAGCCAGCAATACTGCTGATATAAAACGACACAAACGAACTCACTCTTCGGAGAGAGCGTACAGGTGTGAGCTTTGTGATTATGAGTCTTCTAGAAAAGACCACCTCGATACACACGTTGAACAACATTTGAAATCGTTTAATGGAGGGATTAGCACTTTGTTTTAAATCTTTTTGAATGAGAAAATCTGAGATAAATTAGTAACTTGAAAGTATATCCGACTTATTTTAAGTTTGGGATTGAGAACACTCTATTCTCACTTTAGATGCGATTAGACAGTTTATCGATCTCTCCCACCGACTAGAAATAGTTCCATTAAAAAGTTGTATCTTCTGTACTGGCACTGTTTTATCTGTAGTTACACTGTTTGATATGTAACTAAATCACAAGTTAAAGTTGTAGATTACATTATTACATACAATTTTACGGTTATTGTAGCCCTTCAGTTTTGGACAGACAGTTTGATGTTTACTTTGAATATAAATACAGCATGAGCAGAATTTCACTGTCGGTAATAGTGTTTCATATATAATAATAATAATAGAATCCTTTCACTTCAAATATTTAAAAATACATCATGGAAAATGCCCTTTACAGGTTCACATCCCTGCTGCAACACTAGAAAAATGTCTTCAGTCAATGATCTAAAAGTGGCGATCTCAACAGAATGTGAAAACATACCCCTTACCCAAGTGAGCTCATTATCTAAAACAAAAACCAATAAGAGAAGGAAGATCTTACCCCGATCTGTGACACAGCTTGCATATGGTGTTAGGGGGACTTTATCCAGTGAGGCTCCTGGTAACGTTATCATAACAAATCCTCATGACGCTGCTAGCATATATATTTCAGGATGCTATGGTAAAGGATCACTGTCTAAAGGTACACCAGCGGGTCTGATGGATGGTTCAGAACATCTCATACTTTCGCCCTGTGAAGCGCTGTATTTAGTTTACATGGAAGCTTTAGTCTTGGTTCAGGATAATCAACAGGTTTTACAGAAGGAGGTTCTTTGGAATATTTGGCTTGGCCACGATCCAAGTTTTTGTCACAAATTCATTGTTTACCGGCATTTTCGGGACAAAAAGTATACAGTTCGATCTGGTATAAAGTACGGAGGAGATTTCATGTTGTATTCAGGAGATCCTAACACTGCCCACGCAGCGTATGTTGTGAAGGTGGTGATTAGTGATGAACCTCTGTGGACAGAGATCAATACATTGCGGAGGGTCAGTGAGTCAGTAGCTAAGGAATGCGTGCTGGCTTACGTTAACTTTGAGAGTGCTGCTGATAGGAGTCAGCTTGATTGTGTGGCTAATTCTGCTGTGACACTTGTTTTACTGAAACGGTGGACTCCTGAGAGGGACAGAGAAATTGCGAATGGAAAATCTGAAAATGTGAATAAGAAGAAAAAGTAGAGCTTTTTTGTTTTGTTTTATTGGGTGGATTTTTTTGCTTTTTTTGTTTTGATTATTATTTCCATCATTCAATCTAATTTGATTTAAGGAACCTGGGGAAAAATATTTTCGTTTCATTTGATTTATTCCTCGAATGAGTCATATCCCAGTTCACATAGAATTGAGAGATCAGATCAAAATTTGGCCGTCGGTAAATTCATTACCCAATCATATATTTATCGATTGATTTACTAATAAACCCTGATTAATGAATTAAGTTACAATGGCTACACTGCAACTGGTTAGTCAAGGTGCTGAGGGTCGACTGTTTGAAACAACCTTTCTCGGGAAACCTTGTCTTAAGAAAGAAAGATTTAAGAAAGCCTACAGACACCCTGTACTTGATGAGAAACTTACCAACAAGAGACTTACTCAGGAGGTAATTTTAGCAAGGTTACATTTCTCCTATTTTATTCAGTGACAGTTACAATTACAAGCATCTCTTTTGGACCTGTGTTTCCTGCAGTAAGGGCTAGGTATAGTTTAGTAAAAATCCCACCCCATGTTAATGATACAATGATCGCAGTGTCGCTCGTTAAGCAAATGCAGAAGTTTGGGAATCAGAACTCCTACTGTGTACTACGTGGATCACAAAACCAACACTATTTACATGGAGTACATGAAACACACTGTAGTTCTCAAGGACTTCATAGACGAACACGTGTAAGTATTGTTGGTATGTGTTGTAGAGGCTTTTAACTCCCCGCCCTCCACATTGGTTGGGAGGTTTAGCGAAGGATTGATTTGAAGTGCCACGAGGAAAATAATATTGTAGTTATTCTGTGATTATAATTTAAATTTTAAATACATCATTTTGTGAGTAAATCTATTGCATTTTAATTTGCAGTGCCCGTGGAGAGCGAACTATTCTAGAAGACCTGTGCTACAACGTTGGTTACACTATAGGCCTGCTCCACAACGGAGACATTATACACGGTGACTTGACCACCTCCAACATCTTAGTAATGAAGAGAATAGACAAGTACGACTGTGTTATGATAGACTTTGGACTGAGTATCAACTCCTCGTTGGTTGAGGACAAAGGAGTGGATTTGTATGTGTTGGAGAAGGCGTTTCTTAGTACCCATCCCAATTCTCAAGACTTGTTTGATAAGATATTAGCGGGTTATTGCAGCGTAGCTCGGGCTCAGAAAGCTGTGGTCACCAAGTTGCGGGAAGTAAGATTAAGGGGCCGAAAACGGAGTATGGTAGGCTGAAGTGATTTTAATCCTAGGGTGAATTTTAATTGTTTCTGTTGCTGCTTGATATTATACTGTACTGAAATATTGTCGCAGAAGGAATTGGTGCTCTGGTATTTCAAATATTTGCATGTTTTCATATTTATTACTCATACTGTTCCTAGATGGATTTGGCCCCTCACTACCATGCAATTTTGGGGGTAACACCACTATGTTTTGACACAGACAGCTGTTTGCATATTTGATAAGTTCTCCGAAAGATACAGGCTCGCTAGAGGCCATCTCCATCAGGAACATTATTGACCATACTTTGTTTAAGGTTGTCGTATGATCTTTGATTTTATTGTAATGCTACGATCACCATGCTACGATCACCATGCCTCAGGGAGGCCCCCCGCAACCGCACCTTCCGTCGTAACAGGTCCTAGGACCTTGCATGATGGAGGAGTATCAGTCGCTTCAACTACTGTTCCCCAGACCAACAATATCCCCCCTAATAACACCACCCATAGCAACACCAACATCAACACTCAACACAACAACAACAACAACAACACTAACAACAACAAAAACAAAAACAAAAAACGACACAATAAGACACAGAGGGGCAGACTGTGTCAAAAGACTACTAAAAAAAAAGGTAAGAATTGCTTTGATTCTTATTCTATTACTCAGATTAACCTCAAACGCAAGTTTAATGCATGGAAAACCCTCCTAGCCAACATACATGGCAGGAAAAATCCAGTCATTCTTGCTACTGAACCGTACTCGAATAACAAAAATATCATACCACCTATAAATAAAGATCTGTCCAACTTCTACTACAAAATCGGGGATAAAAGACCCCGTGCCGCAATTGTACTGCACAAAAACCTGACAGCTAAATGTTGGGAACTTACACAATTCACAACACCCGATCAAGTGGCCGTTAAAATCCAACTCAGCTCGACAGAACTCATTCTGGCAGCTTCATACATGGATATAAACGGACCGGTACCGCCACAAGAAACATCACCTCTAGCAAAATATGCTAATGATAACAACATCCCGCTCATTATAGGGTCGGACACGAATTCCCATCACACCCTTTGGGGGAACAAGACATGCAATACGAGGGGAGAGGAGCTACTTGACTTTCTCTCCTCCCTAGGGCTGTCATGTGCCAACAAAGGATCATCCCCAACCTTCCTCAACTCTCGAGGCCACAATTCAATTATCGATCTTACAATAACAAACCAGTTGGGAGGAGACCTCATTAGCAATTGGCATGTTAGTGACCTCTACTCCAACTCTGACCATCGCTATATTATGTTCGACATAACTACAGGGCCAAAGAAGGAACCCAAACAGATCCGACTAGTCAAAAACACTGACTGGGACAGATTTGATGAGATCCTATCGAATAACCCCAACCTTAACAACACACAAATCAACACTACGACCGAAATTGATCACAATATAGACATCATCAATACTGCACTTAAGGAAGCCTTCGAGGAGGCATGCCCCATTACTTACATCTCAAGTTCCGTCCGCAAACCCCCCTGGCTAACTCGAGAAGTAGAGGAAGCACAGAGGGGAATAAGACAAAAACTGATTACAGCCCGAAAAAAGAAAACTGATGCCCTGTGGCTCGCTCTTAGAGAGAGCAACAAACAATACAACAGACTTATATCCAACTCCCAGCGTAATGCCTGGAGAACTTTTTGTCAGGAAACAGAGTCTGTTAAGGAATCCGGAAGGATGAACAAGATTCTGAAATCCTGCAACGACAACAAGCACACACTAGAAGCCGTTTACAAACCAAACGGAGACATCACCAAAAATGCAGAGGAGACACTGGAGGTCATGACACAAACCCACTTCAAGGATAGTGTCACTGACCCGCCAGTGCCTCCACCTGGACCTCTACCAATCACCACCACCTTACTCAATACCATCTACAGCCCAGACAGAATCGAGGAGGCTCTTAAATCCTTTGATCCGTTAAAAGCTGCTGGACCCGACACCCTCAAACCTATCATCATACAGAAAGCTTGGACACAGATCAAAGACATCACCAGAACCATTATGACAAAAAATCATGAAACCCAACACATTCCAACTTTGTGGAAAGAATCCCTTGGAATCTTTCTCCCAAAGCCTGGAAAAACTGACTACAACCAACCAAAATCATTTCGCACTATCACCCTTTCTCCTGTGATGTTAAAACTACAGGAGAAGGTGATACTATGGCATATGCAACACGACCTCAATATCGCTAAAGACATCAACAAACGACAATTTGGCTTTAAGAAGGGATGTTCAACCGAAGCAGCCCTTCATAAAGTTACTCACACCATCGAGCGCAGGATAGCTAAGAAGGGATATGTCTTAGGAGTCTTTCTAGATATAGAGGGAGCTTTTGATAATGTCTCTTTCAAGGCTATTTCTGACGCTATCAAGACCACGAAAGTGGACCCGGCCACAGCACAATGGATTATCAACATGGTAACTAACAGATTCATCACATTAAATCATAAGGATAAGTCGAAAAGGGTTCGGATCCGGAGAGGGTGCCCCCAAGGTGGCATCCTTTCCCCTTTCCTTTGGAACCTGGTAGTCGATGATCTCCTGGCCTACACCGCAAGAGACATACCAGGTTATCTGCAAGCTTTTGCAGATGATCTGCTTTCTCTAGCGGAGGGGAATGATTTAGACATCATCTGGAACAGAACACGCAAAACCATCAACACAATAGAAAAATGGTGTCAAACCAAAGATCTATCCATAAGCGCACTCAAAACACAAATAGTCATGTTTACCTGGAATAAGAAATGGACACTTAGACCTGTGGTGGTGGGTAACACCACTATAGGTCTATCCAAATCTGACAAATTCCTAGGAGTGACCCTCGACAGCAAGCTCAATTTCAATGAACATATCACCAACACCACCAAAAAAGCTACGGCATCCCTTATGCAATGTAGAAGAGCTGTCGGCCCCACTTGGGGTATGAGCCCTAAAACATGCAAATGGATGTACACTGCTGTCATCAGACCTATTCTATCATACTGCTGTAGTATATGGATTAGGGCAACCCAAACAGACACCAACGCGAGGAAGTTCAAACGAGTTCAGGCATTGGCATTGAGAATGATGTCTGGTGCCATGCCTAGTACTCCCTTCATCGCACTGAACCACCACACCAACACTCCAGATATCATACTTTTCCTGAGAGGTGAAGCAGCAAAGGGCACAGCCAGGCTTCAAGCATATGGAAGCCTAACCCTCGAAACTATCGCCCCCAGAAAAGGTACCATCACAACTCACACCACTATCAACAAACAATTCATGGTAGACCTCAACATACCACCCAAAGCAGAGAGAGCTATCTATACCAACCATGATGCTTGAACGACGCTTCACGGTCACCACTCCTGGAGCTGACAACGATCAACGACAAAGTCACAAAACTTAATCAAGAATCATGGATTACTAATGATCCCAGACACACTAAACTGACACTTGGACATAAAAACATCAACATCATCAAAAATCTCAACACTACACTCAGTAACAACAGACAAAATTACAGAACTGCAGTGCACCTCATCACGGGACATTGTGGCCTCAACAAACACCTACACACCATTCACAAATCAGACACAAGTGCTTGTCCTAAATGCGGCGACGGAGAGGAGACTGTCTCACACTTTCTCGGACAGTGCCCGGCTATTGCCCAAATAAGAGGTCAATATTTCCGGGACTACTACCTCTCTGTCAATGACATATTCGACAACCAACACATCTCCACCATTGTCAACTTTACAAACCACACTAAACGCTTAGTGGTGCCGGAGGAGTTGGACCAGACAGGTGTAACATAGCGACTACTTTAACGCCGTCTTGTTTCGCCCCTCTCTTCCACACTCAACCACCACTTAACCGTTTATCTATAACACACCCCACAACACTTACCATCATCCGTGATTACACATCTTGATTCCACTGGCATCCTCCCACAGGACTGCCATACCCCAGAGGTAGGCAAAGCATCCATATGCTATCCTCTCGTGGGCCAACCAGGCCCAGCCTCTCTTAAAAAAAAAAAAAAAAAAACCATGCTTTTAATTTATTTTATTGTAGAGCACCCAAAGACTATTGATGTGTTCATAACCAAGATCATTGATAGTTAGCGTACCAAAATTATAACATTAGGTATTTGATTAATTATGTATTTGATTATAATTTGAGAATACATTTATCAAACAGCAATCTTCCAAGGACATTTGTGAAACATAATTTTGAAATTGATAGTACAGCTTGTTTGTTTTGCTATCCATGAACAGTTAAACTCTACTAGGAGCCCTAGGAGTGATGGCTGATGATGGTGATAAAAACAGAAAAAGGAGAAGGGTCGACAAGAAAGATTCCAGTGATGATGGTGAGTTCGAAATGTTATGTCAGTTGATTTTTGTATTAATGATTCTTTTCTTAATGTCTACCCAACATGCCAATGATTTGAAACTAGTTTCTTCTCGTTTACTGCTGACTGAACACTTTTTACATTCGATTATTTTCAGGTGTTATAGATTTGACAGCCTCTAAATCCAACTCCTTCAAAATACATGACGTGGTTGATCTAACAGCTCCAGTGGCTCCCAAACCTGTAAGCTATCAGCATGTAATCTAATTTTAGCCCTCATACCTTTTAGAAAATTATTTTCCTCCGCACCAAGCTGCTCGGCTTCGATTAATTAAATAAGTACGTTCGTGCTCAGTGGGGCTAACAGTGAAAATGTAAATCTGTCTTTTTTGGAAGACGCGGCAATGGTTTTGGAGACTAAATAACGCGCACGCATGTTCATTTTGCGCGCAATCCATGCAAGCAACGTTAATTTATCTGTATGATTCAAACTCAATAGTTTGGTCCACCACGCACATTCGTTTTTCCTAGCCCGCGTTCTCAAATATTACACAAGCCCGCATTCTTTCACACCAAATACCAATGTAGCCTGACAATTAGATTAGAACATGATGAGATATTCTCCTATACTTACAAATATCTTCTCTAGCATGTCCATAGAAAATGGCTTGTTCATGGACAAAGAGGCCTATGATCAGTTGAAATCCAAGCTAGAAAAAGAACTGTTCATTTTCCAATGGCTAACCACTCTCGAAAAGACCGTTCGTGACTTCCCAAAGGCAGAGTTTAAGCAGTTCCAATCGAAGCTCACTCTCGAACTCCAAGAACTATTAAAATCTGACCATGGGCCACCTGTACGACGTCTACTCGGAAATGCGTTCGTGGCAGTTTACTCTGTGGGGGACACTTATTCAATGTACGATACTATCACAGTATGTCTTGACCTAATCAAGGGAAAGGCAGATAACACTACAATGTTAGGCTGTATCGAAATACTGGGACATTTGTACGAGAAGCTGGGAAGGAGTGCTGGAGGAGTGTTCCCGGATGCTCTGCAAGCTCTCGTTAAATCTATCAAGTCTTCTGACGCTAGCATCAGAAAATCCTCTATTTACTCCATGGAGCAGATGATAATTGGACTGGAGACGTCAGCTTCGTATGGTTACAAAGACCTGTCGAAAGCTTTCCGGAGCAGTATGACCGATAAATCTGTAAATGTGAAATGTAAGGCTGCTCAGGGTCTCAGAGCCTTAACTCTTTTCTACAACGTAGCTTGCACCAGCGACTTAGACAGCAACATTGCTATGTGTCTTAAAGTTTTAGAAGGGGCCAACTACGACTGTCGCATTGCCACTGCCCAACTTATCGGCACACTTCTCTCTAAAGCCTTGCAGTTTAAACCTCCTGAGGGCTCCAAGGTAAAGAGCTACTCAACTGACGAAGTTTTCACTTTCCTGTCCATGTCCTTTCTGCACGGTTCCATCTCCATTCTTAAGACGTCAGGAGTTGATCTTGGGAAGAGTGTCACACCACGTGAGGTCAGAGTTGGGATAACAGAAGCGTACACGTTCTTTTTCAAGGAGATGAACAACCCGTGGGTTGTCAACAACCTTAACTACATAGTTTCTCACTTGCTTGATCTCTTATCCAACTCTAAAGCTACTCCATCCCACGTTGAAGCAGTGTACTCAAGGAAATGTATCTCATTCGTAATGGACTCCCTGATAAACTCGCTTCTGGGTGAAGCCTCCCAGCTGGAGATTGCTAAGATCTTGATAATTGCAGTCCATAAACAGATGGAAAACCTCAACAAATCTGACAGTTCTCTGAGTGACGCCCAGTCATCTCAACACATCATCTCCACCGCTCTCTACCAGCTCTCCTCTGTTGTCCTGCGGCTGGGAACTGCCAGCATGACTCTGATAACAGATCACATTCCTGTCGCTCAGGGGAAGAGTATTATGTTCACTGAGACGGTGTTTGAGGTGCTGCTACATCCCTCTCCAGCCGCCCGACTTACTGCTGCCTGGTGTTTGAGGTGCACTGCTAGTGCTGTTCCTGCTCAACTCACCGCATTGGTCGATATCTGCACTGGTGGGTTTTTTTGTTTTACTTTTTTCGTTGCAACCAATTATTTTACTGTCTGGCTTTTAAATTTGCTTACAAATACGCATGTATATTTATAAGAACCTTTTACTTCGTTACTAAACTTATGCTGTAATCACTGTTACAGATAAACTGGAAAAGTTGAAGACATCACCAGAGGCCTTGTTTGGGTTCTCCCACTCGCTGGCTGCCCTGATAGGCTGTGTTGGTGGCTGTCCTCTTGGTATGCCACATTCAAGAAGCAGACAGGTATGTCCTCCGACTTTAAATACTTGAATTTTCATTCGATTTAAGTTTAGCGGTCTGTTCCCAAAGCCATCCAGAACCTAGTTTTCTATTAATATCTATTATGTTGATATCTCACAACCCCTCTTTTCACCTTCAATTTGCAGCCCGAACTCCAGACTTTTATACTTTACTCCAGGTGATGGTGATAGCGGAGGACATGTTGCGGACCTCGTCTCAGAACACCCGCCTCTCTTTGCCCCGAACCCAGTGTGGGTGGCTGCTCCTCGGAGCTCTCATGACGCTCGGCTCTCCAGTTGTAAAGAGCAATCTCTCCCGACTCATGCTGATCTGGAAGAATGCTTTTCCTAGGAGCACCAAGGAGCTGGAGAGTGAGACCGAGAGGGGTGACCTTTTCACTTGGCAGGTTAGTAGCTGTATGATTTGATAGATTTTGTTACGATTTAATGTATAGTTAAGTATTGAAATTAGAAAAACTAAAAAAAGCAGAACTTATTCGGTAATAACTTATTCATCAGTTCATCATTCCCCACTCAGGTGACGTTGGAGGGATACTCAGGAGCACTGATGAGCATGTTCAGTTTTCTGGTACACTGTCAAGACCTCTGTTCTGAGGATATTCTCCGAAGACTGGCTGGGATCAGTGAGGTGGCGGTCAACGTTCTCAGTCACCTTCCCACTATTATTAAACAAGTGAGTCTTCAGTACTTCAGTTCTTCCAATTTGGCCAAAACTCAAAAGAATATTGTAGTTGGTTGGATGTCAGCAAAGAATCCTTTCCTTTTTACCGCGATATCCCTCGACTTATATGTTTCAAATGTAATACTATATTACTTAACATTTCAGCATGGCGCACAACTAAAAGCTGCTACTGCCATGGTTAGATTACGTCTGTACTCCTGTCTGCTGAAGATACCCCCTAAGCAGTACGACGGTGCTTTCGCGAACCTTCTCCGACAGCTAGGTACGATAGTTCAACTTCAATATCATTCAATGGAACATGACCAGCGGTTGTGAGCTGTCAGTTAAGTGGAAGCATCCTGGTTATCATTCAATTTTATTAGAACCGTACATCTCAATTTTATCTCCAGTATCTGAACTGGTTCTGAACGACCAGACATGCACAATGACGTCTCTACTCCGCAAGCAATGCCACCGAGGAGACAGCATCATCCTGGGAATCTGGCTTAAAGACAACGACCATCAGACAGTGGAAGAGCAACTGCAGCCGAACAGCGCGGCAGGATCCGGCGCTGTGGAGCACGATAGCTCGTGCGTGTTCATGGAGAAGGACTCAAGTAACTGGCCCCTGCCTCTGGGGGTGATGGTGGTGGATAGCGCGGTTAGACTGTTCGGGAAAGTGTTCCCGTCCCTTGGAGACAAACACAAGCTTCAGTTGCTGTCCCACTTCAACGATACTATCAAAAATGGTATGGTCTATGGTCATTGTGAAAATGATATACAAAATGTTTATCAGTTTAGTTTGTTTACTGTATAATAAAATACGCTAAATTAGAAATATATTTCTTCAAATTAGTTATAACTTGGTGTTGACTCCTATCCCTTCTAGCTAAAGGTAGTCGCCAGCTAGCAGTGCAAGTCAACATTTTCACAGCATATTTGGCTGCCCTGAAGTACACGTCCGAAAACAAGATGAAACTTGGTAATCAGGATGTCATCTCCCAGGCTAATCAGGTTTTACATCTTTAAGCTTAAATGTAGTCTGAAACTGCAGAAACCATCAATTATTGAGCTCCAATTCGATCTTCAAATTGGTAATATTAAAATGATTTCAGCTAGCCGAAGTAGCATTAACTAATCCCGATCCTATACTGAGATGTGCCGCTGGAGAAGCTTTGGGTAGGATGGCTCAGGTTATCGGCGATCCTAAATTTATCTCAACGATGGCTCAGGTAAGATAATTATGTGGTCATTGTATGCTGTATGCTAATATTCCTGTTTTAAGACAATGTTATTTCAATACAAAGTCCAACATTCCTGTATGCACATAGAAACCCCCTCACAGAAAGCGTTTGAGAGTTTGAAGTCATCACGTGACGCCCACTCTAGAACAGGGAACTGTCTAGCTCTGGGATGTCTCCACAGATATGTGGGCAGTATGGGATCAGGACAACACTTCAAGAACAGTGTAGCTGTCTTACATGCTCTCGCTAGAGACACTGTCACTCAGGTATATTCAATTATAGTATCCCGACCGTTTGAATGGTTTTGAGCTTTTTCATGGAGGAAAACACATTCTCCTCTGATGACGTTTCGTTTTAAAAGGTCTATACTGTGAGCTTAGTTTAGCTTAGTTTAGCCACAGTTATATATATATATATATATGTATAGTGTATATATATATATATATATAACCACGTCCAATTCTTGAGACATCGTCAGAGTGCCCAACTAAGTCCAGATTAAATTAATTATGGCAACTATAACTCTCGTTTTCAGGTTCAAGTTTGGGCTCTACACGGACTGTCCCTGATCGCAGATACGGGAGGCCCCATGTTCCGGGGGTACGTGACCTCCACACTGGACCTGGTCGGAGAGCTTCTCCTGACGGAGAGTCTGGACAAGGTGGAGGTTCACCAGTGTCTGGGTAATCTCCTCACTGCTCTTATCACCTCTCTCGGACCTGACCTCCAGGTAATGTAGAGTACTTTTCTACAGCGACTATTACTGTTTAAATCACAGATATAGATTTTTTGCACGAGTTAGATACGTATGATTGTTTAATTCTGATGTCTCGAGTCTTTCTCTCTTAGTGCTAGAGTACTGCGGTTATAATTGATAACTAACCCTCTCTTGCCCTGTAGATGGAGAGTAAGAGTATAGCTCATGGTAGGAATGTTTGTCTAGTGGGATGTGCAGCTATGCAGATACACCCGGACCCTCTAGTGCAATGCACTGCTATTCAGTGTCTTCAGCAACTCCACCTCTTCGCTCCAAGGTACTTTCTTTCATAGGATCAATAACTTGGCTATGGTGGGGAAATTTCATACCGACATAACTCAATACGGAGCATAACATTTTAAACTTTCGTCTCGAATTTGGACTTTGGTTGGTTATTCATATTTAAGTATTCAAAGTTAAGTATTCAAAGTTAAGTATTCACTATTCAAAGTTAAGTAATCATCTTATAGAGCTCGTATATTATTGACAGGCACGTAAACATGAAAGCGCTAGTGGTGTATCTCTGCAACTCCCTCTTCTCAAAACACCTGCTACTGAGGAGGGAATGTATTGCTTGTCTGAGACAACTCGCTCAACGTCACCCTCACGAGCTGGCTGGTTTGTTATTCTTGTTTTACTTCTTTCCACAATTGTAAATATTTCCCAGCAGTGGATTCCATATAAATGTTACACATTTTTTGAAAAAACTGGCAGCCAATTGCAATGGGAACTATGCACTATGTATACCTTCAATGATGAACCGTGTAATAAATATAAGAATTTATTTATTTATACAGTATATTAGTACCTTGTGTTACTGGAATCTGCAACAACCCATTCTGTAGATCACCACGTAAAAGAAGACCGGTATCTAGCCTCAGTGGTGATGGAGATGCTGGACCTGGAACAGGATGCGATCCTGTGCGACCACATCAGGGAGGCGGTGTCAGCTATTCTAGGGGCTGTCGGAGCTGAGAACCCCCGCAAATGGCTAAGTTTATGTAAGGGGGTGCTGAGTCTCGCTGCGAATAGTGATGGACTTTCCAAACAGACTGATATGGTAGGTTTTTAAATTTTAACACCTCCAAAATAATAACTATCATTCTCCACGAAACTTTAACTCTTTAAGCTCAATAACATTTCGAAATTTACAGCAAGAATTGTAAAACATTATACAGCGTGTTACCTGACCCCATTTAATTCAGGCCAAAGAAGATGAAGAGGAAGGTGACGAAGCAAGTTTCGGAGAGGTATCCACAGCTGTAAAGAACACCATGGCACCTCGGTGGACCACCAAACTGTTTGCTATCCAGTGCGTCAAACAGCTCATGATAGCCTGCAAAGATGTTCCACATCACGTAGATCTGCAGAAGGCTAGACAAAAACTCAAGGTAATGTTTTGGTGATGGACCGTTCATTTTTCGTGATGGCTGACCTTTAATTTTGATACACCTTGTAGCCACAAACCTGTAACCATTTATTTAAATGACCTTAACCTTCCCAGGCTGATCCGTCTGGTTCGTGTCTGGTGTTCCTGCTCTCCGACCTTGTCCGGGCCACCTTTATCGCCAGCACCAGCTACAGCGACCAGCTGCGACGCGAGGGCCTCAGCGCGCTCCAGATGATTATACACGTGTTCTGTGGTACCCTAGATCCTGACTATGATAACCACGCCCTCTTGGAGCAGTACCAGGCCCAAGTGGGGGCTGCTCTGAGACCTGCCTTTGAGGACGATACCCCTCCTGATGTCACCAGTATGGCTTGTCAGGTTAGCGTAGTCTGAGTGAGAGTCTCCACTGAGTGGAGACTCTCAATTCGTCACCAACTATCAAACTGTTTGTCCTTATTATTCAGATGCTATATCTATGCAGATATATGCGGATATATGCAGATACATGCGAATATATGCAGATATATGCGAATATATGCGGATATATGCGGATAATGTAAACCTCCTGTGCAGGTGTGTAACGCGTGGATAAGTAGTGGTGTATCACGTGACGCAAGTGACTTGAAGAGAATCCAGCAGTTACTAGTATCCTCCCTACAGAACCTCCAGACTAGTACTCATGAGCTCATCATTTCCAGGTTCACACATTGTCCAAGATAATGTTTCAACTAGATAAATTAGATAAAATCAAATTATATGACTTAGGATTTGGTTTAGAATTTTTCTTTTTTGGTATCAGTTATAGCTGATTCAGGCTGTATCTCAATTAGAAGGTTCCAGATTTTTCTAAATTAGTATTCTTATATTTACAAGGTTAAGTTTAAGAATTTTAATATAATGTTTTTTTAAATAAAGACATGGGCATAAGGAATAATATGAGCTGACATGACTAAAATGTTCAGCCAATAAACAAATGTACAGTATAGTTAAACAGCTATTTTTAAATCGTTGCTTCTTTAATTACATATAATAATCAGCGTGTCTGAATAATAACTATTACATTTACAATTCGTTTTAAATTATAATCTTACACTAACATATACTTAGTTATCATTAGTCTGGATACATGTACAATTTTGATCGCACTGAAACGAAAATAAACCCAATAAAATAATTGTTATCTAAAATCGCCACACGAAGTATGTGTATTGTCTCGAGAAGGGTAAAAACTTCAAACTCTGCTGGTTTAAAAAGTTATGCTAAAAAAGACTCAACCTTCGTCACAGTTTCATGGCAACTGTTTGTTTTTTTAACTGCTTGACCTTACTCCAGTTCAAGCTTGGTTCTGTCATAAATCGTTCTTGATTTAAAGTTCAGTGACATCAAAGTTTCGTCAGGAATTCTAATTAGTTGCTGAATTCTGAATAGTTTTGTTTTTAAGTGTCCTATCATTTTCTGCAAATCTTTTTAAGATGCTCCCTCATTTTCATGCTTCTTCCAAAATATACCATTGGGTTACACGTGGAGTTAAACGGAAGCAAAAAATGTAGAAAAAGTAGTTTGTATGCTTGAGGAATTTCGCCCTCCTCGCCCCATGATAAGAACAGATAATACCCAAAAGTGACGATATATCCTACGTTGGTAACACAAAATATAAACGAAAGAATCGCTACCGTGATAGTTGAATGTCTTTTCCATTTAGCTGTGTTCGACTGAAAAAGTTTAACCATACAAAACGCATTGCACAATACGACAATGATAAATATGAGCAATAAAATCCCAATTTTAACGGTGGATACAACGTTAGCGTAGACAAGCCCAACCAATGCCGGGATATGTAAAGGGATTTTTATCAAGATATAAATAACGATTGAAACGCCTATTGATAAGTGATCCACCATGGAGTGTGGCCTAAGCAAATTAAGTGCTCTCACAACAGATAATATACAAGTCAAGAAAGAGGTGATATCCACGAACATGAGCAGTACTCCCAACAGAACTCGCGGAAGTTTCTGTAATATAGCTAATGCTACATAAGAGCTCAGCAACTTGAGTGTGGTCCGACATGCTGCTGTAATACAGACAAGGAGGTCAAAGAGGGCCAGGGTTAGAAAGATAGATGAGTTTGAGTGTCCTATGTTGGTTGGCCTGGATTTGGATCTGACCAGCCCGACAAAGTAGGATAGAGATATACTGTTGGCGACTGTTCCCGAGAATGCAAAACAAGCACACAAAATAAAGAAGATGAATTCAGGCATTTCTTGAGTCATCGTGGCAAGTCTTTTCACTTGGACTTCCTGAGGTGAAGTTTTTTGGTTAGATGGATAAAGAGAACAATCGTTGCTTTAAGTTTATCGCAATATTAAACCAAATATCAAAAATGTTCACTGTATCAACCGTAAACGCATCTAAAAGAAACGAGCCTCAGTTCTTCGCAATACCATTGCGACCTGAGTACCAACAAACCCTACACCAGTGATTTGATTTGAAACTTTTACAAAATAGCAAGTATACAAATATACAGCAAATCGAACAAAGATATAAAATGGGCCGAAATGTATAAATGCTAAAAAGCGTGGGTCTGTGAAACAAGTAAAGAGGACAACTTTCAAAACAGGATTTTTTTGGCCGCTCAAAGTCTCAATAACATCACCTCCACCTAGTAATAAAATTATGAAATGTGAAAAGTGTGAAACAATCAAATAATAATAATAATGATACTCCTACATATACTGATCGGTACTCCTACATATACTGATACGGTGTCCGAGAGACATGAATTACTTCATGGTGGCTTCTTAACACGGCTACAGACTTTCCCGTTACGGATGTAGTGGTCGAGATGAGTCTGTTCAGCCCTCTTCTTCTTCAGGTCAGTTACCAGGTTCTTCCTTGCTGCACGCTCTTCACTGGATCTATCAGGACAAATCCATACATCTTTGTGTGCTTCAGCCAGCCTCAGTCTCCCTGTTTTCATCAGAATCTGATGAACTGCTGTTGAGCTTGGGACGATGATCTTGACTGGTCGGATAGTAGTACCTGGCCTCTTCCAGCCGACTCTTGTCGCTTCGAAATGAGGTTTCTCCCCGATCTCCTCCTAAACTGTGGTTACCAGAGCTGGAAGCTGTTCTTCATCCTCTTCTTTCAGCCCAAACACTATCAGATTCTTACTCCTGTCATCCTCTGCAGCCACACTTCAGAATTTTACTGTTGCAAACCGTACCACTTGTGCTGTTCTTTTGTACAGCTGCACTGTAGCTCTTAATCCCTGACTCCACCGTTGTTTGTACTGTCTATTCGACTGTAGTTGTTCGTCCTTCTGCACCCACAGCTGGTCCTGCAGCCTGATCACTTTTTCCTTGTCTGCTAGCCCTTCCGTCTTGAGGCACTCAATTATTTCCATCATAGTGCTCATCTTCCTACTCTGCCGCCGTACGACGTCTACTGCTTGCCTAACCCAGTTTGACATAGTCCTTTTATAAATAGACGGAGGCATATCGTTGTCCATATCTCCACGAATGTCGACGCCTTCTATTTTCAGTATTTTTGCCATCGTAGTGAACCATCTATCAACACAGCCCTCTACATCTTCCTTTTCTTCACAATTGAAATCCTTGATTTTCTTCTGATTTTCTTTTAAGTGCCTATAGCTATGTTGTTCCATGGTAAAATTTGTACAAAATCCTCAGTCAAATCCTCGGTTAAATCTTAAAATTTTGCCGAGGCCGAGGAATGGCGATTCGATTTTTTACCGAGGCCGAGGCAATCACTGCCCTACTGTACACCTCCAATTATTTTAGTGTTTACATCTCCCATTATTTGCAGGTACAACGAGAGTACGTCCACTTTGTTGCGCTTGTCTGTTCTACAAGCATGGGCAGAGGTGTACGTGCGAGCACACGAGCTCAACAAGCAGGATAGCGCAGAGGAAGCGCTTGATCTACTCTCCACTGTAAGTATTCGCTATGGGGTCGGGGACCTCTTAAAAATAGCCTATTATGAGTTAACTAGTGTAACCTGTGCCTTCGGCCGGGACTTCACTGTCGCAGTTGAATTAAATTGCAAAAGTATAAACCTACAAACGTGAAACGGTGCAAAAGCATGAACTGGCCCAGTCGAAACCGGCCGTATTATAGTCAATTTAATTCTGAGCACCCAACACGTATCCAATAGTAATACCTAATAGGCAATCTTGCGTAATAACTATGTTAGTCTCTTCAGTCTTGACACCAGAGACTAAAATTCTAAATTTCATTGGTTTTTTAAATCGTACAAGCATTATGGAGTTATTTGTCCTGCAGATTTGGCCATATAACATATAAGACCAATGTCACTAATTCAATCTGTAAATTCCGGAAAAAGACGCCATGTCTCAAGATATTAAGACATATTTATAACATAATCAGACATCTAATTGTATGATCAAGAGTGGAGCGCTGCTTAAGTAAACTTGATGTAAATGTAGAGTAAAACAATTCACGCTTACTAGGAAAATCGATGAATTAGCTAAGAATTATAAACAAGTTGAGATGTGGCATGAAAATAACATAATTATGGGTCTAAGTGTATACCTCAGCCTGCTATGAAAGTGAACTGGGAGTTATCAAGAATTGTCCGAGAGTGAACTGAAATTGAACTGGTTTTTAGAAACGGAGAAAACGTGAGAGTAGAACGTAAAATTCGCAAAAACATCATTTTACTGGCGGTGTCAAAACAGGGCAAGTTTCTATTCGGTACACAATATATTTTCAAGTACAAACCCGGCCTAAATATTTAAAAAATAATTCAGCTTACAGGTTATACCATCAAAGTAACCCAGAGAGCTCGAGATCACAGTCTGATCATGGATATTGAATATGAGAGTTTTACCGGGCACAAAAATAAAGCGAAACTCTTATCCTGTCTCCGGGCTATATCGCTACTTGTCAAATTTCATGCAGGCTATATCAGCGGGCTGTAAGTGTAACAGCGGGCTGAGAAATGTCAGGCCTTTTAACTTGCGGGCCCGCTGGTGGATATAAGTTTTACTTATAAATTTAAACCGTATAAGCTCACATGGTTCACTTCATTAATAATTACACAGAATATAATCTCCAGAATTACCATTTCCCAGATCAACCTCTCTCTCTATCTCTCTCCCTCTGCTATTATTAAACAAATTGTGCCGTCAATCTGACAGTGTCTGGAGATGAGCTCTCATTGTGCTGCCGTAGTGATTTACAACAATTAAGAGAGCACTACAGCAGCTTTATAAAATGGCAGAACTTATGTCGGAAACTGATTGACTTGAATCCTTATTAAGAAGATCCACCACACAGTTGACAGTTCACATTAGACCAGTAGTAGCGTTTTATATCATCAGTCCAATTTCAGATTTCTGACATGACAGGCTACATTTAAATACCTCGGATAAGACTTAAGTTCAAGATATTATGATGTTTTAATCCACTCAAAATAACGTCTCTAGAGTGCTCTGTCACCATTAATAACCATTGTAAACCATTTGCATAATTTTTGATTTTGATAAGTTCAGTTTTAAGTTCCATTTTTTGCATTTATAGTAAGTTTTCAGTTCTACAAGTCTTTTAAGTAGACTTATCAGGTCTTTAGGATGTTCTTAGTAACTACTTTGGATTTGTGTAAAGTTTGATAATAATAAACCATTACCCAACACGTATCCAATAGTAATACCTAATATGCAATCTTGCGTAATAACTATTTTAGTCTCTTTAGTCTTGACACCAGAGACTAAAATTCTACATTTCATTGGTTTTTTTAATCGTATAAGCATTATGGAGTTATTTGTCCTGCAGATTTGGCCATATAACATATTAGACCAATGTCACTAATTCAATCTGTAAATTCCGGAAAAAGACGCCATGTCTCAAGATATTAAGACATATTTATAACATAATCAGACATCTAATTGTATGATCAAGAGTGGAACGCTGCTTAAGTAAACTTGATGTAAATGTAGAGTAAAACAATTCACGCTTACTAGGAAAATCGATGAATTAGCTAAGAATTATAAACAAGTTGAGATGTGGCATGAAAATAACATAATTATGCCGTCTAAGTGTATACCTCAGCCTACTATGAAAGTGAACTGGGAGTTATCAAGAATTGTCCGAGAGTGAACTGAAATTGAACTGGTTTTTAGAAACGGAGAAAACGTGAGAGTAGAACGTAAAATTCGCAAAAACATCATTTTACTGGCGGTGTCAAAACAGGGCAAGTTTCTATTCGGTACACAATATATTTTCAAGTACAAACCCGGCCTAAATATTTAAAAAATAATTCAGCTTACAGGTTATACCATCAAAGTAACCCAGAGAGCTCGAGATCACAGTCTGATCATGGACATTGAATATGAGAGTTTTACCGGGCACAAAAATAAAGTGAAACTCTTATCCTGTCTCCGGGCTATATCGCTAATGGTCAAATTTCATGCGGGCTATATCAGCGGGCTGTAAGTGTAACAGCGGGCTGAGAAATGTCAGGCCTTTTAACTAGCGGGCCCGCTGGTGGATATAAGTTTTACTTATGAATTTAAACCGTATAAGCTCACATGGTTCACTTCATTAATAATTACACAGAATATAATATCCAGAATTACCATTTCCCAGATCAACCTCTCTCTCTATCTCTCTCCCTCTGCTATTATTAAACAAATTGTGCCGTCAATCTGACAGTGTCTGGAGATGAGCTCTCATTGTGCTGCCGTAGTGATTTACAACAATTAAGAGAGCACTACAGCAGCTTTAAAATGGCAGAACTTATGTCGGAAACTGATTGACTTGAATCCTTATTAAGAGGATCCACCACACAGTTGACAGTTCACATTAGACCAGTAGTAGCGTTTTATATCATCAGTCCAATTTCAGATTTCTAACATGACAGGCTACATTTAAATACCTCGGATGAGACTTAAGTTCAAGATTTTATGATGTTTTAATCCACATAAAATAACGTCTCTAGAGTGCTCTGTCACCATTGATAACCATTGTAAACCATTTGCATAATTTTTGATTTTGATAAGTTCAGTTTTAAGTTCCATTTTTTGCATTTATAGTAAGTTTTCAGTTCTACAAGTCTTTTAAGTAGACTTATCAGGTCTTTAGGATGTTCTTAGTAACTACTTTGGATTTGTGTAAAGTTTGATAATAATAAACCATTACCCAACACGTATCCAATAGTAATACCTAATAGGCAATCTTGCGTAATAACTATTTTAGTCTCTTTAGTCTTGACACCAGAGACTAAAATTCTACATTTCATTGGTTTTTTTAATCGTATAAGCATTATGGAGTTATTTGTCCTGCAGATTTGGCCATATAACATATTAGACCAATGTCACTAATTCAATCTGTAAATTCCGGAAAAAGACGCCATGTCTCAAGATATTAAGACATATTTATAACATAATCAGACATCTAATTGTATGATCAAGAGTGGAACGCTGCTTAAGTAAACTTGATGTAAATGTAGAGTAAAACAATTCACGCTTATTAGGAAAATCGATGAATTAGCTAAGAATTATAAACAAGTTGAGATGTGGCATGAAAATAACATAATTATGCCCGTCTAAGTGTATACCTCAGCCTACTATGAAAGTGAACTGGGAGTTATCAAGAATTGTCCGAGAGTGAACTGAAATTGAACTGGTTTTTAGAAACGGAGAAAACGTGAGAGTAGAACGTAAAATTCGCAAAAACATCATTTTACTGGCGGTGTCAAAACAGGGCAAGTTTCTATTCGGTACACAATATATTTTCAAGTACAAACCCGGCCTAAATATTTAAAAAATAATTCAGCTTACAGGTTATACCATCAAAGTAACCCAGAGAGCTCGAGATCACAGTCTGATCATGGACATTGAATATGAGAGTTTTACCGGGCACAAAAATAAAGTGAAACTCTTATCCTGTCTCCGGGCTATATCGCTAATGGTCAAATTTCATGCGGGCTATATCAGCGGGCTGTAAGTGTAACAGCGGGCTGAGAAATGTCAGGCCTTTTAACTAGCGGGCCCGCTGGTGGATATAAGTTTTACTTATGAATTTAAACCGTATAAGCTCACATGGTTCACTTCATTAATAATTACACAGAATATAATCTCCAGAATTACCATTTCCCAGATCAACCTCTCTCTCTATCTCTCTCCCTCTGCTATTATTAAACAAATTGTGCCGTCAATCTGACAGTGTCTGGAGATGAGCTCTCATTGTGCTGCCGTAGTGATTTACAACAATTAAGAGAGCACTACAGCAGCTTTAAAATGGCAGAACTTATGTCGGAAACTGATTGACTTGAATCCTTATTAAGAGGATCCACCACACAGTTGACAGTTCACATTAGACCAGTAGTAGCGTTTTATATCATCAGTCCAATTTCAGATTTCTAACATGACAGGCTACATTTAAATACCTCGGATGAGACTTAAGTTCAAGATTTTTATGATGTTTTAATCCACATAAAATAACGTCTCTAGAGTGCTCTGTCACCATTGATAACCATTGTAAACCATTTGCATAATTTTTGATTTTGATAAGTTCAGTTTTAAGTTCCATTTTTTGCATTTATAGTAAGTTTTCTGTTCTACAAGTCTTTTAAGTAGACTTATCAGGTCTTTAGGATGTTCTTAGTAACTACTTTGGATTTGTGTAAAGTTTGATAATAATAAACCATTACCCAACACGTATCCAATAGTAATACCTAATAGGCAATCTTGCGTAATAACTATTTTAGTCTCTTTAGTCTTGACACCAGAGACTAAAATTCTACATTTCATTGGTTTTTTTAATCGTATAAGCATTATGGAGTTATTTGTCCTGCAGATTTGGCCATATAACATATTAGACCAATGTCACTAATTCAATCTGTAAATTCCGGAAAAAGACGCCATGTCTCAAGATATTAAGACATATTTATAACATAATCAGACATCGAATT